AAACTTCAAGAGTAAGCTTTCTCCAGTCCTCGGTCCACTCATGTTTTTTATGGATTCAAACTGCGGCTACAAGTCACCACCACCAATACAACCACCTCTCTCAATTTTGTGGCTCTGATAATCCATGCTGATATATTATGAAGGCCGGCTCAAGTTAGAGATAGAATTAATCGACCCTAAGCAAACTTCAAATTCCAAATACAGAAAATAATTTATGGCACGTATTCACTTAATACTAGTGATTTTTACAGTTTCATTTTCTCTTGTTGCACCGCTTTAGAAAATCACTCTAACATGATCGTGTCAGGATTTGATTTAAGTTTTTCAAGTTGAATTTTCATTTTATTATGCTCGAGTAGCATGCTAAAGTTTTAGAATCAGTCCAACAATCCATTATAAATCCGCATCAATAATATCCATAATATAATCTCATGTGGAATCCAATAGATGTTAACTTTATACAATTTGTTGTTTTTGAAATTAATAATAAAACATCGCAAACCGAAGTAATATGAACACCTAAGGAAACATGTCAGTATTTGCTCATGAAGTTTACCACAAGCTGATTATGAAATGAAAGGTTAGGCGTATGTCGTCCATCATATAGAGTCGAAACTAGGCCAGGCAAACGGGTTCTGTTTTGTTTTGTTCATGTCGTTTTTATGTTATACCCGTTATTTTAATGTGTCGTATCAAACTCGTTATCTTAATGAGTTTTTGACAAGTAACCCAATAAAAACTCGATTTGTTAATGGATTGTGTCGTTTCGTGCTGGGTTAATGTATCATGTAAGAAATTGTCATGCATAATATCTAGATTTTACAAACAATATCATCGAATACTTAACAGGTGATTCGATAACGACTTGAAACGTTAACGAATCATTCACAAGTTACCCAAAAATAACCCGACTAGTTAACATGTTAACTCAAAATTCTCTATTTTAGTGTCATTTTGTACCGAGTTAGTGCATCGTGAAAAAGATTGTCAGAATCATGCCTGCAATAGGTTGTTTTCTGAGTTTTCGCTTACCAAATAACACACCAACCAGCAACGAAAGAATCGAGTGGGGTCCACCTCCAATTATGGGAACACGTGTCTCTCAATAAATGGGTAGTTTCTAGAAATGCATTTGACCTTTGAATACACTTATATACATACATGAAACCAACCCTAGCTATTTAAGGAATAAAAGAGGGATATACGCAATCACCACTCGTTCTTTTAACTTTCTTTATTACCATCTTAGGCAATAAAATTAACAGAATGAAACTTTCCAAACAATACGAGGACCAAAATCATACTTTGATAAAAATGAAATTACAGCTCTTATCTCATACGATAGTTACACATCCCATATCATCACCCACATTATTCGGAGAAGCCTTATCAAACGCATTTGGCCCACAAAATTATAAAAAAAAAACGTAAATATATTATTTTCTCATTTTGTAATATCCATAATATGATCTCATGTGGAATCCAATAGATGTTAACTTTATACAATTTTTTGTTTAAAAAATTAATAATAAAACAAGGAAAACCGAAGTAATATGAACACCTAAGTAAACATGTCAGTATTTGCTCATGAAGTTTACCACAAGCTGATTATGAAATGAAAGGTTAGGTGTATGTCGGGGCACAGTCCATCATATAGAGTCGAAACTAGGCAAACGGGTCCTGTTTTGTTGTACCCGTGTCGTTTTCGTGTCATACCCGTTATCTTAACGTGTCGTATCAAACCCGTTATCTTAATGAGTTTTTTACAGGTGACCCAATAAAGACTCAATTTGATAACGGATTGTGTCGTTTCGTGTTGGGTTAACGCATCATGCAATAAATTATCATGCCTACTGTCTAGATCTTGCAAACGATATCTTATCGGATTCTTAACAGGTGACCCAATAATGACTCAAAACGTTAACGGGTCCTTAACGAGTTACCCGATAATAACCCGATTAGTTAATGTATTAACTCGAAATTTGTTATTTTAGTATCGTTTCCTAGGTGCATCGTGTAAAAAATTGTCAGAATCATGCATGCATGAGGTTGTTTTCTAAGTTTTCACTAACCAAATAACACACGAACTGGCAACGTAAGAATCAAGTGGCAATTATGGGAACACGTGTCTCTCAATAAATGGGTAGGTTCTAGACATACATTTGACCTTTGAATACACTTAGAGCAGTTACATCGGGGAACCTTTAGGCCGGCACTCAACCAATCCATTCCAGCTGAGCAGATAGACTGGCACCTAGCCCAAATTGGTCTCTAGGCTGGCTCAGAATGTGTTGAGCCCTTGCCCGGCCTACATGACACCATGCGATACCGCGCCTCTTCCACTGCCGCTTGCACTCCGACGACTCTCGTAACATCATCCGGCGGCTGCTCGCGCGTTGCAAGAACCAGCCGACGTATGAGTCTCCAGCTCCGAACGATGTTGTCGGAGGGAAAGGCTTGATACTGGTTTGAGCTCAACATATTTTTCAATTTTACTGAATTTCGAAGCTAATTGGATTGGGGATTTTCCATTTGATCTGGAAAAGTGAAATTTAGGGTTAGAGTGTGGGGGATCGAATTGAAAGTTTGGATTTTTTGGGATGATTTGATTGGAAAATTTGGTGAGCCTTTTGTATCGTGGTAAGGAAGAACACACTTTAAAGACAATCACATGGGATTTTGGCAATCCAGAGAGACCCTTTTGAGAAAAGGGGAAGAAGAAAAAGAAAGGATCATGTCAGAAATTAAAAATCAAATTATTATTTTATAATAAAAATTAATAATATTTTAATAAAATTGACTAGGTTATTTAGTTTTATGGGTGAAGATGCATTTGGTCTATTACTGTTCATTGTGGTATATCATTGTTCACTGAGTGGATTAAATGGGATGGGTGCTGACGTATTTTTTTAGGGGTGGAATTGCTCTTATACATACATGAAACCAACCCTAGCTATTTAGGCCGCATTTGTTTGGCAGGATTAAGTTTCACTGGACTGGACAACTTAGCTAGAATTAGTAGTCATGTGTTTGGCGTAAATTGGGATTTTGTTTAATGGGATTAAGCCGGACTTGTGTCGACTAAATCCTTCGCTAGGTGGGCTTAGCGAGAGCCACCAAAAACGAGGGGATTCGTAATCCCGTTTATGTTATTGCTTCACCTCGTGTTTCTGTTCTTCGCTTCACCTCCGTTTCTGTTCTTCGCCTCAGGCTTCACTTCATGTTGCTTGCTTCGCTTCTCTCCTCCTCCCTCTTCTCCATCTCAGAGGATCTCCAAGTCTGCAATATTGGGTTTGACAGAAACGGATCCAAGAAATCCAAGCCACCGTCGTCTCTCACTTCCCTGACTCCACAAACCCCAACTCGTCGCCGGTCAGCTCGCCAGACATCGCTGCAGGCCGATTCCGCCGCTCCACAGACTTGCGGCTCTGATTGAATCCACAGACTCGGAAAGCTCTCTCCAGTTCGAATCTTGCACCGAATAAAAACCTAAAAAACCAAGCTTGATTCTTCGTTTTGCAGAAAAAAATTTGGCATTTAATCGGAAAAAATAGGGGATGGAAGGAAAGCGTGGGACAGAGAGAACAAGGGGGATAAGGAGGGAGAAAAAGATGGAGGCTTCCAGAGAGAGGGAAAGTATAATTAGAATAAAAAAGGTAGAATTAATTAATATAATATTATTAGATATGAATTAAAAAATATAATATTGTAGTATGTTATTATCCTTATTTTTAGTCTCTACAACTAGTCCAGTTTGAAACAGTCCAGTGCAACAAACGTATCTTTAAATAATAAAAGAAGGATATACGCAATCACCACTCGTTCTTTTAACTTTACTTTATTACCATCTTAGGCAATATAAAATGCAAAATTAACAGAATGATACTTTCCAAACGATACGAGGACCAAAATCATATTTTGATACAAATGAAATTACAGCTCTTATCTCATATGGTAGTTACACGTCCCATATCATCACTCACATTATTCGGAGAAACCTTATCAAACGCATTTGGCCCACAAAATTATAAAATAAAATAAACGTAAAAATATATTATTTTCTCATTTTGTATTATGATTTCTAAAGTTCCTTTGAAATCAGAAACTAGAAACCTAAAGCTCTTCATCCCCAGGCTGTGGAAAGATTTTCTAGTATGCCCGATATAAGGGATGATACATCATTTGTTATTATGTAAATAATGAGATATGTATATTAAAAAGTTAATAACTTAAAAAATAAAATTTTCAATTACTCTTATTAAAATACGTGATGTACCACTTATGTTTCCGTCACAATTAAAAATTTCTCCAGATTGTGGAGAGATTTTTCAGTGTGACCGTCACATAAGGTGGTATATCACATGTCACTATATAAATGGTGGATATATGTTTTAAAAAGTTAATAACTTAAAAAAAAAATTGCACCACTTACATAAAACCACGTGATGTACTACTCGTGTTCTGACTCATAACTAAAAATTTATCCTGGCTGTGACCGAAACGAAAGGGAAAGCCTAACACGTGTCAGTAACCACACAACAACGAAGCCAGCTTTGATACGTAACCTACATGAGGTGGCTCGACAGTCGACACCGCCGACACAGTGGTAAGCCAACACGGGGGTAAAATCGTAATTCGGACACCAAGAACACTATATAAGCAGCGGCCATGAAACGAAGAGAAAGGGAAAAAGAAAGAGAGGCCATAACCTTAAAAGAGCTCAGCTGCCGCGAACGGTGTTGCTTTCGGAAACCCTAAATATTTGTCTCAGCAAGCTGAAGGTGGTTAGGGAATGCAGAGAGATGAGAGGAGCTTCGCTGCCCAAGCCTGAGCTTTCAGTACGTGCTAAACGCTGCATCGGCGGCAGGAATTGTCACCGGAAACACGTAGAGGACGGGTGATCCATTCGCCTCTCTTCTTGTTTTCCGCAGCGGTTACGTTTTTTCTCAGAGGACACACCTTTCGTGTATTTTTTTTTTTAAAGTTTGTTTTAGTTACCAATGGCCGAGCAGAAAGAAAGCGGCGGCAGCTCGTTGCTGCATGGCAAGTACGAGCTGGGCCGTCTTCTGGGTCACGGCACCTTCGCCAAGGTCTACCATGCCCGCCACCTGCAGAGCGGGAAGAACGTGGCTATGAAGGTTGTGGGGAAGGAGAAGGTGATTAAGGTGGGGATGATGGAGCAGATCAAAAGGGAGATCTCCGTCATGAGGATGGTGAAGCACCCCAACATCGTCGAGCTCCACGAGGTCATGGCGAGTAAGTCCAAGATCTACTTCGCCATGGATCTGGTCCGCGGCGGCGAGCTCTTCGCCAAAATCGCCAAGGGCCGGCTCAGGGAGGACGTTGCCAGAGTCTACTTCCAGCAGCTCATCTCCGCCATAGATTTCTGCCACAGCCGCGGCGTTTACCACCGGGATCTGAAGCCGGAGAACCTCCTCCTAGACCAGGACGGCAACTTGAAGGTCACCGACTTCGGGCTTAGCGCTTTTACCGAGCACTTGAAGCAGGACGGGCTCCTCCATACCACATGCGGCACGCCGGCGTACGTGGCTCCGGAGGTCATCGGAAAAAAAGGATACGACGGAGCCAAGGCGGATCTCTGGTCCTGCGGCGTCATCCTCTACGTGCTTCTCGCCGGGTTTTTGCCGTTTCAAGACGACAATCTCGTGGCCATGTACCGGAAGATTTACAGAGGAGATTTCAAATGCCCGCCGTGGTTCTCGTCTGAGGCCCGGAGACTCGTGACGAAGCTCCTCGACCCGAACCCGAGTACCCGAATCACCATTTCCAAGGTCATGGACTCCTCCTGGTTCAAGAAATCGATTCCCAAAGTCGTACTGACGAAACAGGAGCAGGAGTTCGACGAGCCGAGCGACAAGATCACGGCGAAGCAGACGGAGACGCTGAACGCGTTTCACATAATCTCGTTGTCGGAGGGGTTTGATCTGTCGCCGCTCTTCGAGGAGAAGAAGCGGGAGGAGAGGGAGGAGCTGCGGTTCGTGACAACGCTGTCGGCAAGCAGCGTGATTTCGAAGCTGGAGGAGGTGGCGGCGGCGGGGAAGTTCAGGATAAAGAAGAGCGACTCGATGGTGAGGCTGCAGGGGCAGGAGAGCGGGAGGAAGGGGAAGCTGGCGATAGCGGCGGAGATATTCGCCGTGACGCCGTCGTTTTTGGTGGTGGAGGTGAAGAAGGACAATGGTGATACGTTGGAGTACAACCAGTTCTGCAGCAAGGAGCTGCGGCCGGCGCTCAAGGACATCGTATGGACATCCCCCGTCGAGAATTCGACGGCGGCTTGATTGATTAAGATTTTAAGATTGTGATTAGTGTGGTTAATTATAATTAGTGTGGTTAATTGTTGGTGTTGTTTCCATTCATCAAGTTGGAATCGGAACCGGCCGGGCTGTCCCGTGATGTCCCTCTCTGGCGTTTTGATCTGTTTTTCATGATTCTCTTTGTGTTTGTGCTGTGAAAGGTGAAACTGTGAATTTATGTGAATATGTGCAGCTTAATTTCACATAAGCTTTTCCTTTTATTTATTTTCTTAGAAATGTGAATATTTACAAAGTGATTTCACATTGGTTTGCTAACCTATTTACATCATGACTCAATTAATCTTAATCTTAATTTAGGATTTGTTTGAGAGACCCCTTTTAATTTTTCGTTTCAATATAATACTCTTAACTATGTTCAGAATAAGAGAAATCTCAATGAGATTCTCAAAAGTTACGTTAAATTATAAGATGACAGAAAATTTATCGATTGTAGAACCAGCGTTTTTTAGATCATAAAAAAAGTTAGAATTTATGAGGAAGCATTTGATGTTACTTACTAATTTACTTTTACAAAGCAGTCTCAAACTAACATTTAGTTTTAAACACTTCAAAATATAGGTCGTTTTTGTATTTGGATGAGTCGAACTTGTCAAACAAAAAGTAAAAGTAAACATATCACCGCGAGATCGACTGGTCATGTGCTTATCTTATTTGGATCTTTTAAGAAAGAGCGATAATTGGCCAAGTAAAGTGATAACTTGAAATCTTGGTCATTATTTTCCCCTTATCTTATCTCAAATTTTGGGTCAATTAAAGCTGCTTTACACGCGAGCAGGCATTACTTTTCCCTCCCCTTGGTGGCAAATTCGGGTACGTGAGATGGATGATGAGTCATGAAAATCCCATTTTATTTTTCCCTCATCTGATAGGGTTTCGGTGGGGCTTGGTTATTGTATGATTGGTTTTTCCATCATTATCTTTTCGTCATCAACCATGTGCTCAATTATTGTCTTTGTCCTCCGATTTTTTTACTTAACACTTGCAAATTCTTACCGTTCGTCCTTTATAGTGAGAGATTTTTTAGTATATTCAAAATACGAGTATATACGTTATATGTTATTATATAAGTGGAATGATATTTGTAAAAAAAAAGCTTTTTCTCAACTTGTATAATAACATATAATATACATCTTGTGTTATGGATGCATTAAAAAATATCTCCTCTACAAGACATCAATCCATTTACAAGTTTTGTGTCAAATTGAAATTTATATTTAGGTTTCGTTGTAGTATTTGAAATTTTGACACAATTAGTGAGCACTCTGAATTGTTAAAACTCGTATTTGAGTTATGGTTCTAGTGTTTCTTATCAAGACTCTTGGTATTCGTATTTGAGAATAATATAAGAAAACTCAAACCTACCATCACCGTTGGACTAAAATATAAAAAGACATGTTTTTTGCGCCTCGCATTTTATGCATTGCACTCCCCTGTTTTTTTTTTTTTTGGACATTTAGATTGAACATGTTGGAGTAAATATGTTTTTATTTAAAAAATATTTATTTTTTGGTTTATTACAAACATTAAATATAAAACGTAAACTGTTATTAAAGATGGGATTCCAGGATCGAGTCTATATACATAACTTTGTCCGTTGTGATTTGTACGGTTTGGTCTCGTCCGTTTTTGAATCTTCCTTTTAATTTCCTACGGTTTTGCATCTTCATAATAATTCCCTTGATTTCTGATCATTTAGCACCCCAACGTCTATTTTTTTTATGTATATATATATATATATATATATAAATTGTTATGTAAGTCAGGAAATTTGCAGAAAGTGGATGAGGAAAAAGTTTTACTTATATTGATTTAAAAAGCAACATATCGGAAAGCTGTAAGTTCAAAGATTCTTCCGGTGTGCAAAGAAGAATTTTATCAGAAGAAGGTTATATGCTGTTTTATTTTGGGGACGACGTGATGTTTGTGAATTGCTTGCACACTTTGAGCAGAGCCGTAAAACGTCTTAAAGAGAACGACTTAGTCCGCGACTCATCCCAAGAATCATTTACTACTCAAGGCTTATACATTTTTCGGGTAACTTCGTTCCTTTATATTTCAGTTTACAACAGAACAAATTCAAAGTAAATTTAGGAACAAAAATTATAAATAAAAATGTGTAGAATGAGAAAAATGAAGTGTGCGGAACTCATTTCTCGCTCATTCATTAGTAATTTAGTAATGCCTCATTGTTAATCTTAATTTGTTGCTGTTTGATGGTTGATATGATACAACGTTATCCTTTACACTTGCCTTGTTTCATTTTGTGGTCCATTCAATTATGGATGCAAAGGCTGCTCATAGTAGGAACTAAAATTGATTGCTTGTCGTTCACAACTTGGCATTTGATATAACAACTGTCCCATATGCTATGCTATCTCCAAGCATGAAACAATGAGAGGTTCTTAAGCTTTTGTGTGGCGTTGATTTGTCCTTACTGTGCAAAACACTGGGAAAAATAAAACCTGTTAAGTAATTGGTTGAGAACTTGAGAGTCTCGAAACTTACATACAATTGGAATGTTATTGGTGATAACGCTAGGACCTCGCATTATCGGGCAGCTAGTGGGACTATCTAGCTTAATTAGTAAGACAAAGAGTACAGAGTAGCCAATTTGGATTCGCAAGATTCAAAGAGGCAGCAGCCACACGGGGTCTAACATCCCATTCTCTAGATTTGCCCCGTCCATCTTCCACTCAGCATTATTTGCATTATTTGTTCTTCTTGTTGTGCAATAATTAGAATATGTTTTAAAAACAAACGATATTATCTACATTAAAATGGTAGAGAAGTGTGCAAGCCTCATAAAATATAACATTATCGGATTCATCTACTAAGATTATAGTTTAATGGTATTTATCTTTATTTATAAATGAAAAGTCTTAAATTTGATTCTTATAAATGACAATTTCGCTACCTTATTATGTAGTTGATCCTTTGTGTGGCCAGGTCTTCACCACCAATATCGCCGTATCCAAAAATATTCTCGAGTTTAAGGCTTCTTCTGTCACATATAGTATGTGACTTCTCCGGTGACTTCTGCCATCATTCTTTTGTTCATTCTAACCATCACCCATCACTGATTGGAGATATTTTTCAGTGTGTGGGGAACTCAATCGGTACACAAAGAGTATGATAACACAAGTGGTTGAATTTTTTTTTCTTCAAACACCTAATTACTTGTATTATGACACTTAATATACCGGACGTATTTTCGACACTAAAAAATTTCTTCAGTGATTTGAGTGGCAATCGGTAGCTTGTTAACTCAAGTTTAATTATAATAATAATTAATGATTGACTCTAATGCGAATTATATAAGGAAAACTAATGAAAAATGTTTGGAAATTTTGAGTTTTAACGATAAAAACAAAATAAAGGGTAATGTGAATAGTACCAAGATTGACTTTTTAGTTTAAAAATATGATTTTTTGTTAAAATAAAAAGTACCGGAAACTTTTCGTTAAAGTTCTCAATTATATAAGCGTACCAGATTCAGCTCGTAATCATGTTTCTTTGATATTAAATTCCAAAATGAATGAGAATATCCTTCTCCTTTACCTAAAAAGACACAATTAAACAGGTGGGGGCCCCTGTTTGATTACGACTAATTACGAAAGCAACGTTGTTTGATTAGTGTTCATAATACACAAGGCGCTTGTTCATGATTAATTATAATAACTCATTAATTTTTTTTTTGTAAGACATTATAATAACTCATTAATTAGTCTACGTATTAGAGACTAAAGTCATCTCCAACCGAAGGGTCCAGAGGACCGAAAATGGTCCTAAAATCATTCCAACCAAGGGTCAGGCCAAATAGCTTGTGGGCCCCACTGGACAAAAAATGGCCAAAAGGCCGACCAGTTGGCCCCGAGCCGGGCTGGAATTCAAAAAGCAACAATCCGTTATTTTTTTTTTACAAAATTTGTTTAATAATAGGCCCAAAAAATATGTTTGGGTGTTCTTTTTATAGGTTTTAGAGCTTACTCAAATCCCTCCCACAACCGATGTGGGACTCTCCCACCCACTTCCCTTTTTTTTTTATACTCTAAATAAAACCTCTCACATTTGACTTGAAATATATAAGTTGTATTTTTTAATTTGTTGTAGTTTTTAAATTTAAGTTGTATTTTTACAATTTTAGTTGTAATTTTTAAATTTAAGTTGTATTTTTAAAATTTTAGTTGTAATTTTTAAATTTAAGTTGTTTTAGTTTTTTAATTTAAATAATAAATTATGTTTGACCTTATAACCCTTGGTTGGAGATGATTTTTAATGACAGGGCTAAAACGAGCCCTATGGCCCTTTGACCCTCGGTTGTAGATGGTAAGAAATATGGCATTGCACTGTTCATTAAAATATTAATTTCTTGGAGGGCTAGAGAGCTAAAAATGAGCCTTCTGGCCAACCTTCGGTTGGAGATGACCTATTTAGGTTATTGGCCTTGTTGTGCTGTTGAAATCGTATGAGTGGAATAATTTATCTTTCTGCCACTTAGTAATATGGTCTAATGGTATTCCTCTTCACTTATAAGTGAGAGGTCTTATGTTCGATTATCGCCAAAAGTGAATTTGAACCAAATTATTGCTAGCGCTTGTGAGGCTAAGCAAAGCCCTTATCCTTTAGTATAGATAATATCGCTTGTCAAAAAATAAAAAAATTATTTTCTCTACTTCTGTTTGTACATGTATACACCATATTCTATCCTTATCCCTGCCCATAGCTAGGGTTTTGCCCTTTTTGTTGGGAACTAGGATTCTCTTCCCCCTTCTTTCCATCCCATTCCATCCCCTCCTTTCACATTCTTTATTTTGTCTTTCTCTTTCTATAAAAAAGTAATATAAGATGTTGACGTGGCTTAACCGTGACCATTCATATAGGAGGGGAGGGAAGAGGAGGGAAAAAAAAAAGGGAGATAATCCTACTCCTTTGGTTGGTTTGCTTAGACAAAGTTGTCATTGTCCTAAGAAGTAGTTGAGCTATAGCTTAGTTTGATATCTATTATTTTGAAGCAACTGAGATCCTCTCCATATCTCATGCTTCATAGTCCACTAACTCAGTAATTCAGACCATTCAATTTAAATCATGCAGTCCTTATTAGGTCATTCTCCTAACCCACTTCACATAGGCTCTCTCTCCAATGCCCATATATCTCTCTCTCATCAACAGTTCAGATTATTTGGTCGGTCAATTTCGAAATATGAGATCCGAAGAGGATCTCGATCCATTTTGGAGGACCTTGGTGTCTCGCAGTGGAAAAAGTAACATTTCTTATGTTGGTTTAAGAGCTTTTGGACACCCTTTAATTTCTTACAAACTGTTTTAGGTGTAAATTCTACCGATGTGTTTTTAAAAATTGCTAGCAAACATTAGTTTCACCACATAACTGTGACTAGGCTCCAAGGAAACGTGGTGGAATAGTAAGATCCAATTGTTCCACATTGGAAACTTAATCTATCTTGAACTAGATTAATATAATATGTTAGGTGATTTAGTTAGAGGACCCAATTGTCTCTAACTAGCTATGGACCAATGTAGTTCGTCTATTGTTAGAGGACCCGACCAATTCTTTATCTCCCATCAGAAGAATAACATTTATTAGATAGGTTAAGGGCTATGGACGCTTCTCTTACAGACTGTTGAAGGGGCAAGTTTTACTCGTGCAGTCGTGCTATTGGCAAAACTGAAACAGTTACGTTTTAGAATTCATACAGCCGACCATATTTAGTGGAATAAGACTGATTGTTGTTGGTGTAGTTTGTATTAAGAACTGGTATCAAACCCTAGTTTCATCATGCAATTAAGCCTAGACTCCTCAGAAGCGTGGTGGAATGTCACGGCCCAATTGTTCCGCACTGGAAAGCTTAGCACATGATATTGAGCTATGTTGACCGTTAATTAGGTACATCATCCATCGATGGGTCAATGTTAATGTTGGTATGAAATGACAACATATATCACTTCATATACCCTAGTTGTTATTATATCAATATCATGACCATGGATCAAGGTTAATCAAAAGAATAAGACCCAGGCAGTGTGTCTATGCTTCCATCCTTCGCCTTGGGGACCCAAGATTATATTATTAGGAAAGTTGCCTTTGCCATATCAGCATCACAATCCTAATACGTAGGCTAATTAGTTTTTATTCACAGCAAAACAACCCTTGTTTTTTTTGGGGAAAATTGTCTTTCTGTCTAGTAGGCTTACCAAATGGCTTGTCTTTATCATGTTCGTGTCGTTTTCATATCTACTCGTTAATTTAACGGATCATGTTGTGTCAAACCTGTAATCTTAACGGGTTCTTAACAGGTAAACCGATAACGACCTGATTCGTTAATGAGTCTTGATGGGTTATAACGGATTATGCAAAAAATTATCATGGGGTTCTTAATGGTGACCTGATAACGACCCGACTCATCAACGGGTTAAACATTAATTTGTTATTTTCATGTTCTTTCATGTAGAATTAACAGGTCGTGCAAAAAATTGTCAGTCATATTTTGTTCATACAAGGCACATGGTTTTCAGGATTCATGAGGGAAGTTGCTATATAATCTAAAAATAAAATCTCAAAAAATTCATTTGCTTTAAAAATATATAAAATACGAGCTGCACATAAATTGTTGGAAGAATAACTCATAAACTACCAGGAACTATGTAGTAGTATAAATCATGTTTGACAGAAAAACTAATCATTCTTCGAAACAATAGTAGAGGTAATTAAACTAATCAATTTGCAATTATATTGAGACACATTAAGATTATTTATTTGTAATTGTCAAATACATGAACAAATGGACTCAAAAATATCAAAGAAATAAAAGGAAACTGATCGTCACACATCGATTTTTAAAGAGAAATAAACAGTGGCGGCAATGTGAAGGTGAACAATGGCATAGTGGTAAATCAATTTTATTAGCGGGTCAATTATTATCTTACATGGCACTTTATTTGAATTTCTTTTGGACGTTTACTTATTGGTGGATTTTTATTAGGAAATAATAAATGTACGAGTCTATCCCTAAGGAATCCTAACATGAATCATATGTTATTGGACTTTATCAAGCCCTTAACAAGTGTACCGGATTCTAACGCCACCACAAAAGCAAGAGGCTTTATTTGTTTGTTGCTGAAAGAAATTCAAAAAAACCCATAAGGATGTATTCAATTGAGAATTTGAGAGATTTATAAATTTTTATAGAGTTTAATTGATTTGTAGATATTTCATATAAAATTTTGATTCAATTCCCTCAAAATTTTATAGGAGATTTGAGAATGCTTAAAATACACTATGAAATTTCTCCAATTCTTTAAAATCAATTTCTAATTGAATACACCTGAAATGTTATAAACTTCTTTAAAATCCTAATTGAATACACCGATGGGGTTGGGAGCGCCGAGGCAATCAATAGAGCTGGGAGCGCCGAGGCAATCAATAGAGCTGGGAGCATCGAGGAAACTGATGGGGCTGGGAGAGAGCTGGATGGTTCTTCGGAGCCGTCTAGCAGGGAAGAATTTGCCCGGCTTCTTGAGAGAGCTAAATCGTTCTTTGGAGCTGTCTAGCAGTGAAGAATTTGCCCAGTTTCTTGAGAGATAACTGGATGGTTCTTCGGAGCCATCTAGCAGTGAAGAATTTGCCCGTCTTCTTGAGAGAGAGAGCTGGATGGTTCTTTGGTGCCGTCTAGCAGTGAAGAATTTGCCCGGCTTATTGAGATTGATACTGAAAGGTACTTATTCTGGCTTCTTTATAAAGTATGAATTTCGGTTGTTAGAGGACTCATTGTCATATGATTTACCCTGCAGTGCAAAGAAATTGCTGAGCCATAATAAGTTTTACTTGTTCGTCGATCTTGATTACACACTGCTTAATTCCACTGATCTGAATCAAATGATAGTTGGAGAGGAATACTTACGTAGCCAAACATATAGTACTAGTTTGATTAGATTTTGTTTATTGTAATTCTTTGAATGTGTTGTCATGAATACATGTCTATGCATGCTCTAATGTTTTTGTCCAATTACTTACATCATCTAACTTTGCTTATGATACTTATATCATCTATCATCTAACTTCGCTTATAAGTATCATAAGCAAAGTTAGATGATGTAAGTAATTGGGCAAAAACATTAGAGCTTGCATAGGCATGTAATCATGATAAGACAATCAAAGAATTACAATGAACAAAATCTAATCAAACTAGTTTTATGTCAGAAACATTGCTACCGAAACTAATGCAACTAACTTTGTAACTGATCCAAAGAACAGACTATCTGTTTGGCTACGTAATTATTCCTCTCCAACTGTCATTTGATTTAGATAAGTGGAATTAAGTAGTGTGTAATATAGATCGACAACCAAGTAAAGCTTATAATGGCTCAACAATTTCTTTGTATTGCAGGGTAAATCATATGACAATGAGTCATCTAACAACCGAAATTCATACTTTATAAAGAAGTACCTTTCAGCATCAATCTCAATAAGCCGGGTTAATTCTTCACTGCTAGACGACACCAAAGAACCATCTAGCTCTCTCAAGAAGACGGGCAAATTCTTCATTGCTAGATGGCTCCGAAGAACCATCCAGTTCTCTCTCAAGAAGACAGGCAAATTCTTCACTGCTAGACAGCTTCGAAGAACAATTTAGCTCTCTCAAGAAGCCAGGCAAAATCTTCACTGCTAGACGGCTCCGAAGAACCATCCAGCTCTCTCCCAGCCCCATCAGTTGTCTTGATGCTCCCAGCCCCATCGGTTGCCTCAGTGCTCCCAACCCCAGCCTTGGGCCTCTTTGTACTGCATGGTAACACAACATAAATAAATAAACAAATTAACCTATGGTATATTAAGAGAAGAATTAAGCACCTCATAACTTCATCCAGCGAGGAATCCAAAGAGCCAGAATCTAGGGCGGCAAGACACAATAAAAAAAGGGTAATTAATTCAAAACGAAAATTTAAAGAACAACACAGGTAAAAAAAAAGTAATTAAATCAAGCAAACGAAACCCAATAAAAAATCTCTCAAAGCACAAAATAAAAGAGAAATTGGCAATAAAATTGGAGCCATGAACATATTGATATTCAGATTGGTAGAGGAAAAAAAAAACATGGAATATGTCACTTCCAATACTAAGATTCTAGGAAGCACAAAACCCATCAAGTACCAGAGAAAACGAGGATCAAACACTCGTTACAAAGTGATGGATACATCTAATCAAGAACAGTGTGCGTGGGCATGGATAGAAATATTGCAGAAAAGCAAGACCAGACCTACTCAAATACCATGTTAAGATAGAGATGAGTAAAAACAGGAAACGAACTAAGACAAAGATACCTGAAAGGGCTAAATGCATGTTAACACGTCTGGGAACATTACAGAAACCCGAACTTATTTTAAAAGTCACACACAGGTCCATATTGTAATATGAGAACAATAATTCTCAAAAACACAAAAACAATGCTTTAACTAGTGCATACATTACTCTATAAAAACTTGACAAACAAGGGAAAAGAAGCTCAAACCTGGGAAATTCAATCAGAGGGATTTTCCAAGACATACTCGAGCCATTTATACCAGACTAATTAAAGACAATTAAGTCATTTAGTTAGATGCGGGTCAGGCCAGTTGGCTACCCTAAGTATGAATCGCTGTTATAGTAGATTAAAGTAGTTTAGAATATCCCCTTGCCAAAAGTTATGTAACAAGGCCAAAATGTCGGAAAAGTTGGACTAAAGAAAATGTTATATTTGAGCCTAAAAATGAGAAGCAAGGACTCACCAATGCACCGGAGAGTTAGGCCATCTTCAACGCACTAGATGTAAATCAAAACATCTCCAATCCACCTGATACTTAACACTTGTATATAAGTTTTCAGCTAAAGTGAGACCCGATGTTATTCGACCAAGAAATAAAGATGAGGTTTGACTCCAACCATCTCTAATACACATACCCAAATTGTTAAAACCCACATTGAGAGTTTTGACTTTAATGTTTTCCCTACTAATGCACATACCTTAATTGTTAAAACTGAAATTTGAGTTTGACACAATGTTTTCTACTCCAATGCATAGACCCAAATCATAACAATGTGCATTGAAAGGAAAACCAAAAAACTCAAACCAAAAAGTATGGCTAGTTTGGTATGGGATACCGAACCGAAACAAGTATCCCGAATCCCAAACTGAAATTTTTCGAGACAGAAATTTTGAAGACCAATCCCAAACCAAATTTTCAAGAATCCCGAAATATTTTCAGGATTTTGAGATAAATCGGGAATTCCAAATTGAAATATGAAAACATGAACGAAGATGCCCAAATTAAAGCTTGCAAACAGCGAACATGCCTTGCTCGCACCCGAGCCTGAACTCTAACTAAAGCTTGCATACAGCGAAGAGTTATTGCAGAAAGGTCAATGAATCAAAGTATCAAACTACATGGAGAAACACAAATTGCAGCTGCTGTCATTAAAGTACAAACTATTGAAGAAAAGTGCTAGATTCAATGAAGATTGCAGAACACAAACCCTTACGCAAAAAGCTTTCTGAAATTTCAAACGAAATTGAAAACCCCCAAATCCAAAACCCTAGAATTCAAATGCCCAAATAAAAAATGAATTGAAGCCATAAACAGACTGTACCACATCAAGATTACCAGATGAAGACAAGAATATTACCTTAATGAAGAGAGAAGTAGAAGGAAGCAGTAGGGCTGGGTTCGGTTTGAAACGGTTCGGTTTTTTGCTAAAACCGAAACCAAACCGAAATTTCGGTTCGGTTCGATTCGGTCCGATTTTTTTTCGGTTTTTTTCTTTTCGGTTTTTTTCGGTTTTGATTTTTTTCGGTTCGGTTTCGGTTTTTTTTTCGATTTTTTCATGATTTTTTTTTTTAATATCTGGAGCTTGAAGCACATTTTTTTTCTGCATTCGGCTGCAAATTTACCCTTTCTCTCCATTAACCCTCGTCGAAACAGTAACGATTTGAGGCATGCAACAACTGTTTCTTGTTCCTGTGATCTGAGGAGGAAAAGGATTTCATCCACCCAACTTCAGTGCCCACTGCAAAACGAAAAGATTAAAACTTTAGTCACAAAAAATCCACCGAAAAATATAAAGATTACAAAAATAATTGGAAACATTACCCAGAAAAAAAATTGAACTTCAAACGGAATTTAAAAATCAACATTGACATAAAAAAAATTATCAAAAACAAACAAAAAAGGTCAATTGAGAAAGGAGTATGCAAAAATGAAGAAAAGAATTGCGAAAAAAGGGGATAAGCAAATATAGATATCAAGGTAGAAAAAAAGAAAGGGAAAGAAATGGGTGAGACTCTCACAACACAAAAATCAAACAAATCTACAATACAAAACAAAACAATAACCCATAAATTTACACCAAAATTTCAGATTCCCTCCATGGAATTTACTCTAAAAAAACCCATAAATCGACAAAATAAATAAGAGAGATTGGAGATCTTACCCTGGAGTGAGAAGATCGAGAAACGGAGAGAGAAGAATGGAGAAATTTGGACAAGAAGGGAGTCTGGAGGCGCAGGGCAGAGAGAGAGAGAAGAGGGGAATGAAAAAAGAAAAGGTTGGCTGCTACTACTAGTGGCTAGGGTTTTGTTGATTTCTAATTGCACAAAAGGCTATAGATTTATATCTTTATAAATAGTTTAGTTATACAACTATAACAAAACAATACCAATTGCCATGTTGGTTTCGTTGAAACCTCTCAACAGGAGTGCACGGGTTCAAACCCACATGCCTCCAGAACTTTAGAGATTTTTTTATTTTTTATAATTAAAATATTATAAAAAAAATAATTAAATATATATTCGGTTCGGTTTTTTTCGGTTTTCGGTTTTTTGAACCCACCCCTAGGAAGCAGAGGTGGCTGTATTGATTATCGAATGCAGAGGAAGTTGTCAAATGCAAAAATACATTAAATTGTTCTTTTTCGTATCTTTACTAATTAATAAAATACTCATTGTTAATCAAAATTCTATAAAATTATCAGTTTAACTCTTTAATTAAAACATAACATGAATAAAAAATATGGGATATAAATATAATTTTACACAACCAAATCTACCAATCTGAACCCTTAAACTTTGGTTAAACGACTACAAACAGAAACTCCTTTAAAGTTATAATAGAAGCAAAATTTTCTTTATTCTACCACAATGTTGTTCAAATCACTGAAACCAAAAGCAAACTAAAAAATTTCAGTCCTTTTAGTTCGGTTTGGTTTATTACAATTCAGTTTGGTTTTTTCTTATTCTTTTATTTTTCTTTTTAGTTTTCAATTTTTTGAGCCCATTTTCCATTAGAAAAGGGGAACTTTAACGAAAAGCACCCGGTACTGTTCATTTTAACGAAAAACCACATTTTTATACTAAAAAGTCAATCATGGTACTATTCACTTTACCCTTTATTTTGTTCTTATCATTAAACCTCAAAGTTTTTAAACCCTTTTCATTAGTTTTCCTTTAGAAAAGACCCGCCATTTGTTCCAAATATTATCTTTACTAATTAACAAAACTCATTCTCAACCAAAATTCTATAAAATTACCAGTTTAATCCTCTAATTAAAACAGAACATGAATAAAAAATATGAGACAAAAATGTAATTTCACACAACCAAATTTTGCTGTATTTTTTTTTCAAAACCTCACCTACATGTAATCATACATATCTCTAATTTTAAAAAAAAAATCCCACTCCTACATTCTCTATTACTCTCTTCTATTTCAAAAACAAAAATAAAAAGTTTTCTCACACACTGTGTGCCCATATGCTAGTTGTTAGAATATAATAATAATTTGAAAGGAGTACGTTGCATTGAGAAACATTTGAAAGGAGTACGTTGCATTGAGAAACATACTTATGGGCATGTTAGTCGGATAAAATTCAACCAATATGGCATGCTTGCTTGACTGGATTAGAACTGTGATTGCGCTATTTAACACCAATCCCAGTCTAGAACAAATATGTGGGTTTAAAGAACAACCAGAGTTGATTTCAGAGATGTGGTCCACTGGTCAGCCAGGAAAGAAGAGGAAGAAGGCTTAGAGATCGGGTTGTTTCAGTTTCAATATTTGATTAAGTATGTAGGTTATTTCAATTTCGAGTATAAAACTGTTGTTCTGTAATCAGTTTGAGAGTTTTATACTAGAAACTGAAACAACCTACATACGTCAATCAAATACTGAAACTGAAACAATCCGATCTCTAAGCCTTCTCCCTCTTCTTCCCTGGCTCAGTGCCTAAAAATATTCTTTTGCTCCCCGATAAAACCCCTGATGGACGAATAATATATTTAAGAAACTTTTTTTTGTAAAAAATTAAAAAACTGTTTAATTGAGAACTTATGTAGTCATGGAACGAACCAAATGAGAGAAGCACACTTTCTTCTTCTCCCCAAAACCAAAATGGAGCTGCGGCACCTGGGCTGGTTTGGTATTGCTGTGCTTTGAAAACAAGCTGCTGTGAGAATAAGCGGCTGTGCTGTGAGAATAAGCAGCTGTGAAATAAATCAGCAGAGTGTTTGGTAAACTTTTTTGTAAAAGTGCTTTTGGAAAAAAAAGCAGTCTAATAGTGAGTCTTTTCATTAAAGAAGCACTGTAGCTCCGTGTGCTTTGAAAAAAAGCCAGTTTTCCAAAGCTGCAAATAGTAGCTTCAGCTTTTTCCTTTGATTTCAGCTTATTCTCACAGTAGCTTCCAAAATAAGCCTCTTTTTTTCAGTTTACCAAACACCTAAAACCCCCACAGCTTTTTTTCATGGATGTTTTTTTTTTAAGCACCTCACTCCCAAACTAAATCTTAATCTCTCTCTGTTTTTGCTGCTCGATGAAACCAAAAAGGCATCAAGCCTTATATAAGGCTGCTGCCTATTTTCTCCAACAACCCTAGCCACTCACGTGGCTTTCACATGGGTTAAATAAAAGACCCACTTAATGGGCTAGTGAGATTAGCTTCAGGCCCAATGTAGTTCAACCACAAATTCAACACACCCTTTGTTCATCAGGAGTTACGAATGTTGGATAACAAACATAAGACAAAAATTCATCTCTTTGTTTTACCAAATCAGCTTGGGAGCTTTAGACGCATTGTGAAGAACTAAATCAAAATTTGAAAGAAGGACACTCCGAACATTCGAAAATATTCCTGCAAAGACGGACGTTCAAAATTGATTAACCCACTAAAAACAGCTCGGCAACTACGTGCCGAGTGCTTTTGAAACATTCAGAAATAGTACTCGAACATTCCGGAAACTTTTGCCAATAAAAACCGAACCTAACCTGATCCTATCCGGTTATGATTCATACTTGTTAACTTCAATCATGTAGAATGAGCATAAGGCGATACCATCTAAACGCTCAATTTTTCAAAGTGTTCCCCGTCCAACAGTGGTTTCAATTTGAGCATATCATGGAGTTTTCGATGGTGGTTTCCACTCGAAATCTTTGCAGCAAATACTCTTTCATCATAAGGTTTGATTGTGCCAAGCCAAACCGGACGTTTAGGTCACATGGATCGGAGATGCTAATGTCGAGCATTCCAACACCCGCACATTTTCCCTTGAACTTCGAAGTGACATTGATTGGTTCATGCGGTGAGGTTTGATTGTGCCAAGCAAATTCGCTTTGTAAGCTGCCTTGCTGCGCACGCTCTCGCACAGAGTTGCAGTCAAGTTCGACCCCATGTGCTTGCTTAGTTTTGAAATTTAGAACAGGATTTTTGCCAGGGCTAGGGCCATAGCAGTTGGGCTATTTTCTGTGCCTCAAGACCGCTGATCGAGGACTTTAAATCGTATTGTTTTCTAGTGTGTACAAGTAAAAAGAAACGAAAGGCATAACTTAAAAGAGAGAGAATATATTTTGTACTTGTGAGGAGGACGCCATCAACCTAAAGCAGTAAAAAAGAGAGGCCCTTATGAGGAAGGATCTGCATGACAAAGATGACTTGAACCCCAAATTAGGAAAATTCTTTATATGGTCTAAAACAGGGTCCAAATATCGGCCTGCAACGATAGACAGACAGGTTTTCTGTCCATCGTTGCTTCCGACTCTCCCCTCTACAATCACTTGTCAGCACAAAGAAAGGGGCTTACAATATAAAGTTGAAAGTCTTGTCTGCTTTAAACAGATTACGAAGGGGCTATCTTCTCAAAGAAAATTCAATGGAAGAATGAAAAGAAAACTCTGTAACTGCATGAGGGGCGACCACCCTTGGTAAAGCTACAATCCTACACTGAATATGAAAACTTTCGATCATGGAATCAGTAAACACATTGCAGAATCGACATTGACACTAATAATAATGTCTGGTATTATTCTCAATACATATCCCTCGCTATATATGACTTCACTGACAAATAATAAAATTAACTATGAAATTTCGGTGCGAAACACCCTCAAAATTTTGTCAAACAGATGCCAACCTATAATCCACACACACACACACAATCAAAAACACTAATTTATATTGAATCCGATCAAAATTATAAGATACCGATCAGGTAATATGGCAATGAGCAAAGGTGTTTCAACTCCTCTAACAACCAACCATAGACACACAAGAAGAGTTCTCGCTCCCACCCTTTTATTTATTACTAATTAAGCGTATTGTTCCGACAATGTTGGATAACAAACATACATTACAAACCAGCACGAAAGGAAATTCATCTCTTCATTATACCAAACAACAAAATTACCGTCAAGTTGGGAGGTTTGGGCTGGGCTGGCCATGTTGTGGTAGTTGAGGGACTGGCGTCGGCCACCATGGGAGCACAAATGGGAAGTGGCAAATACAATTGATTCTCTGATATGTAGCCACCATTGACACCTCTCCTGTACGAGTATTGCACTTGATAATGTCTTTCTTCATCAGGGCTCTGAGATTATTTATAAACATATACAAGATGTCCTCATTATTCGGGTCAAAAACCACCCCACACAATTTATCTATCTCTTGCCTAATCACAACCATTTCCTCATCAGCCAAATATACCCTCTTATTAAGTCTCACAGACAAATTGTCATCTCCTCCATGCATCGTGACCGTCTGATCATCTTTCTGAAGCGAGAGTTTCAACTTTTTAATGGTAATAGAGGGAGTCAACTTTGGGTATTAATGAGAAAAATATGAAAAACAAATAAAAATAACTCATCTCAACGATAACCCCTCAAAACAAAAACAAAATCAACCGTTGGAAGCTGTTTGAAAAGGATAGCACACTTGTAATTATGTGTAAAAGCAGGGTTGTAGAAATAGTGATTGGCATTCAGATTGTGTACAGCCAAAAAGGTAACTCCTCGTGTCATGTGGCTAATGAGAGACTTGCAGAACAAGATCTGGAGAGTGCACCAAGGCTAGCATCCCTCTTAAACTAATTACAGACCAACAACCTACAATCAGATACTAAAACTCAAAAAACCCCATCTCTAAGCCTTCACCCTCTTCTTCCCTGGCTAACCACAGTAACGAATCTCTGAAATCAAGTCCGGTCGCTCCCTTTGAAGTAAACCTTGTCTGTGCCTAAAAGTTCTAGCTCTTTCATTCTCCATGTAAAACCCCTAATGGACAAATAAGACATTTAAGAAACTTTTTCATAAAAAAAAAAAAAAAAAAAAAAAAAGCTGCTTAATTGACAACTTACAAAATCATGGAACGACTTTAGCCAAGCCGTTTTTGTCTGTCCATACAACTCTACCACAAGGCTGTGGAATTTGGTAAAGTTGTGAACAATGAAGGAAGCGTTATCTCCTCCCCAGGAGATAACACTTCTGATATCTTCATCCACCGATGATTTTGTTAACAGGCTGAATCGATTCATCCACCGATGATATCTTTATCCAAGCCATTTTTCCTTTCATTTAATGTAAAATATTGTTGTAGGTTACCAAAACTATGAAGGCAGATGTGTTGAAGGGGCAACATAAGATTGTTTTCAAAGGGTTGTTTGCTTCAGAAGTTCACCAGGTTTGGAAGATGACGGAAAACTTGGGTGCGTACTATGGTGTACGGATGGGAGCAAGAGAGCCTGTGAAGAATCTATTCAGCCTATTAACAAAATCATCGGTGGATGAAGATATCAGAAGTGTTATCTCCTGGGGAGGAGATAACGCTTCATTCATTGTTCACAATTTTACCAAATTCCACAGCCTTGTGGTAGAGTTGTATGGACAGACAAAAACGGCTTGGCTAAAGTCGTTCCATGATTTTGTAAGTTGTCAATTAAGCAGCTTTTTTTTTTTTTTTTTTTTTTTTTTTTTTTAGGAAAAAGTTTCTTAAATGTCTTATTTGTCCATCAGGGGTTTTACAGGGAGAATGAAAGAGCTAGAACTTTTAGGCACAGACAAGGTCTACTTCAAAGGGAGCGACCGGACTTGATTTCAGAGATTCGTTACTGTGGTCAACCAGGGAAGAAGAGGGTGAAGGCTTAGAGATAGGGTTTTTTGAGTTTCAATATCTGATTGTAGGTTGTTGGTCTGTAATTAGTTTAAGAGGGATGCTAGCCTTGGTGCACTCTCCAGATCTGTTGTTCTATAAGTCTCTCATTAGCCACATGACACGAGAAGATACCTTTTTGGCTGTACACAATCTGAATGCCAATCACTATTTCTACAACACTGGTTTTACACATAATTACAAGTGTGCTATCCTTTTCAAACAGTTTCCAACGGTTGATTTTGATTTTGATTTTGATTTTGTTTTTGTTTTGAGGGGTTATCGTTGAGATGAGTTATTTTTTTTTGTTTTTCATATTTTGACTATTTTTCTCATTAATACCCAAAGTTGACTCCCTATTACCATGAAAAAGTTGAAACTCTCGCTTCAGAAAGATACACAAGGCAAAATTCTTTATCGTTGCTCCACCAGTCTTTACCTACAAATGCTCCTGTTAGAAAGGTGTCTTTATGAGAGACGTCCAAGGTATAAGGGTAGAAAAAGATCTAGAAAGACTTGGAAAGAAACTCTAAAAGACATGGAGTACAAGACCGAGTGCAATGGCATTTCAGGATTCATACAATCGATCCCATAATTGAGAGATGGATTTTAATTTTACCAGACAGAGAGTAGCACTAGATCAGGAAATCGCTGATTTTGACACTGGCGTGTTCATAAATAGCATCAAAAGTCAAAAGCACGAGTCCTGCAACGGGGAAATGAAACATTTTAGTAATAAGGAGAGACAAGCGACTAGAGAAATAGCGCCGGCAAAGATAAAAGCCAAAAACAATGGTTTTCTCCATCTACAAACGAATGAGAGATGGATATTATTTTACCTGACACTAGATCAGGAAATTGCGGATTTTGACACTGGTGTGTTCATAATTAGCATCAGAAGGCGGTGTGTTCATAATTAGCATCAGAAGGCAAAGGCAAGAGTGCCTATATATTACGACCTGCAACGGGGGAATGAAACATTTTAGTAATAAGCAGAGAAAATAAAATAGACAGGAGAAATAGCACCAGAAAAGATAAAAGCCAAAAACCTTGGTTTTTTGTATCTACAAACAACTGAGAGATGGATATAATCTTTACCTGACAAACAGGGTAGCACTAGATCAGGAAATCTCTGATTTCGAGACTGGTGTGTTTATAAATAAATAGCATCCAAAGGCAAAAGCAAGAGGCCTTATGGACTTTCAACTGCCCCAAAAATGAAACATGTTAAACATAAGACAAGATAAGACAGAAAAAAAGGGCACCGGAAGGAAAAGATGAAACCAAAAATCTAATCTTGGTATTCTGATCCATAAGAGACAGAGAAGGAATTTACCTGACAACGCGTGCAGCATTAGTTCAGGAAACCGCTGATTTTGAACTTCGGTGCTCGTAAACAGGATCAAAGGAAAAAGGCAAGACCTCTTATTTATCTCCGAACCTAGGCACCGGGACATCTGGGTTTCCAATTGCCTATGAAATGAAATATTATGTTTGTTAAGAATTAGCAAAGACAGAGAGAAAGAAACGGTAGGGAAAAAGGTAAAACGAAAACTAGAGCCAGTCCAATCCAACTAGATAAAAGGCATACGCCAAGGAAAATATTGCCTCAAAGATAGTTGCTTTTTAATGAATTCTTCATATATGCGTATGTCAAACATGAAAAACAAGTGCACCAGATTCACGTAGCATGGTGATATGTATATATGTGTGTGTGTATGAGAAGCTAAAACAGAATACCCACTGCACCACAGCGGCAGATGTAAGCCAGCATGCATGCATTCATTCAGTAATTAGGATGATGTTCGAATGAGGATTTGGAATCACCAACTGACAACTGCACTGGAAATGAAGCATAGCATCATCCTAGTTAATACTAATGACAGAACAAAACACAATTTTGAATAAATGCTCAAGCAGATCTATCAGTCTGTCATGGTAACTTAATGAAAAGTTCTTACTTGAATTAATCCACCCTTTTAAGAAAACTTAGATCAGAATCTAACACCACCACAAAAGCAAGAGGCTTTATTTGTTTGTTGTAAATTCAAAAAACACGCAAAAACTCTTGAATAAATAACAAGTCTAGTGCCTTTTAATCAAATCAATTCCATTCAATTCAATTCATAAAAAACAAATAAATTTTAATGTCTGAATCTCAGGCACCAGAGAGAGGGATTTGTTGCTATACCTAAAACAGCGAAGCAAGAACCAAAATTTAGATATCAGACACTGAGTTTAACCACCCACCGCTGAATCTTACTCAGAAATGAAATGAATCGCAAATCCAATTTCCCTCCCTGGCTCAGTCTGGCGGAAGCGGAAGCAGTGGCGGTGGTGGCCGCTGCGAGAAATGAAACCCTTAGCCGGCGGCGAGAAGGATAAGGATCGTCGGAGAACGCCGGCGGAGCCGTGCTTGGGTTTGGTCACCGACGGGATTGGGTGAGCGCCGAGGATTGTGCTGGTGGTATTTCAATTAGTTTCCCCGTGTTGAAATCATTATCACTTGGCATTTTTTTGGCAGAAATTTTCGGGTGTTTACTTTCCATTTGAAACACGAAATCTAAAATTAAAAAATATTAAAAAAAGATTAAGTACCTAATTGATCCCAAACATTTCAAATAAGTACCCAATCTAAACTTATTAGAGATGTCACATTCATTATGGCCACTTAATTTGTCTTTTAAATATACACGTGGCAACAATGGATGCCACTTTTTAGCTTAACTAGGCACCAAAATAATAATAAAATAACTTCAAAAAAGATATAAAAATGAATAAATAAAAATTTCCCAAATATAACCAGAAAATAAAAATGAAAAACGAAAAATAACAAGCCTCCACTACCTCCAAGCTCAACGTATGACCACCAAAACCCCAACCTAACCTTTATATTCAAAACACAAAAACATGATACAAACATTCATCTGTTTATTTTACCAAATCAAGTTGAGAGGTTTGGCCTGGGCTCGCCACGTTGTGGTAGTTGACGGACTGGTGTCGGCCACCACGGAAGCACAAATGGAAACAGGTGCAAACAACACCTTTGACATCTCTCTTGTACGAGTATTGCACCTGATAACGTCTTTCTTGTTCCAGTCTCTGGTACTATCTATAACCAGATACACCAAATCCTCATTATTCGGGTCGAAAACAACCGCTCTAATATGATTTATATTTGGACTAATCACAACCATTTCTTCATCCCCCAAGTATACGCTCTTATAACGTCTCACACACAAACTGCCTGCTCCACCGTGGATCATGACCGTCTGATCACCTTCCTTTGCTTCATACACCTCCCAAATAGACAGAGTGCGAGTAGGAGAGTCGTACACGCACATCCGCGGACGCCCGTCAAGCGTAACTAGGGAATCCATTAAACCGGAATCCCACTCGCCACACTCACTGAAAAAGCATTTATAATGAGTTCTAGTATTATCACTGTTGTCGATCATGAACGGATCAAACCCAATAAGAAACTCTCCTCCACCGCCCAGCCAATACATCATTTTGTTGGAAGCAACGCCAATACTCTCTCTACACAGGTCTCCTACCGCGATGGCGGATGGGGATGACAAAACGAACTCCCTCCATTCACCGGTCTCCGAAAAGAAGATCTGTGCTTCGATTTCGCAGGAAACTACATCATCATCGTCATCATCATCAACACGAGGGTCAATTAATCTCACAACCCTGAACTTGTACTCCGCATTAAGCTGGATGATGTCCCCTTGCTGATCATCTTTCTTATAGTCATAGAAGGGAAGATCGCAGGTGAACCCCACCGTTACATAACTGTAGACTTGAGGTGGGGGAGGAAGAGGAACCCACTGGACTGTGTGTGGATTGCAGATGTAGTAATCGCGCTGACTATACTCGCTTGCGCAGCACAAAACTAAGTCGTTGTAGGCACCTACCACAATTGGCTCTTGTTTCAAACCGTGGATGCTCACAAGCCCTTTGAACAACTGAGCTAGGGGCCTAGAGGATGGTGAAACTCTACTAAGGAATTCCTCCCCTTGTATGCTTATGGCAGAACCTGTTGGCTTTTTCTTACGATTCCTTTGAACACATAGAAAAAGGCGGATAAAATGAGGATCTGATAGGAGACTGCACCAACGCTTGGAAACAAGCTTGCATTGAGAAACGGACTTAAAACAAGGGAGTCTACAAAGGATTTCAACCAATAATGACTCTGGCAGATGATCAATATTATTGTCCCGCAATATTGATGATGTCCTTTTCAATCTTATTGGGGGAAGAATATTAGCATAGGCCGGTACTGCTCTAGGAGATAACTGGGTTGTTCTACTGCAGACTCCATCAGTGGCAATTGTACCATTAAGATCTCTCATGGAGACCGGCAAAATCGAAGTCAATTTGCTTGGTGTAGGCGTTTTTACCTGGACAAGACTTATGCATGTTTAACTCTACATAAAAAAAGGTTGCCATAAACACATTTTTTTTATCAAGAAAAAACAAAAAGATACAGTACTATGCTATGGAGAAGGATCGTTACCTAACAAAGGAGCGAAATTTCAATCGGCTGCACAATTCACAACCTTGCATCTCGAATGTCGTGTGTGGATTTGAAATCACCGAAACACATTAATAGGCAAGGCAAAAGAACACGACGACTGCAAAAACACCAGAAGTGTGAAACAAAAAAGCAAAAGCCAAAAAGAAGAGCCGAACAGGCAAAATTGTCCTAAAGTTGGACTTGCTCAAGCCTCTTGAGGCATATATATTTAAAATTCTTTAATTATTAAAGGGGGCACATATCAATACGACGGAAGGAAAACTTGGGTGAAAATAATAATAACAATAACAGGAACAGACACTTAAAAGTTTCCTACATACAAACTAGATGCTAATTCATCCACAACTGCACCATACGCTAGAAGCCAGCTGGTCAGGGGCGATTGGTCCAACCTCAGCTTTCAAGGCAAATACAAGTGCAAGCACACTACCTAGCCTGCAGCTATTCCTCCACCATGGTAAGCTAGGTGGTAACGCAAAACAGGTAGGGAAAAGACATTTGAAGAGGAAAACAAGAAATATGATACTTTTCATGATTTCTAAACACTTAATAATTTGATCCTTAAGCTTTTAAATGAAACTGCATAAAAAGAGTAGTGGCTTTGTGCTGACAAAGTACAGACAAAAGGATTTTACCTAACAAAGCCAGCCAATATTAGATCAGGCAACCAATGAATCTGAATCTGACTCGGCAGTGTAACTTTTATTCCCTCCTCTGAAACATATTCACAATCTGGCCGCCGGATGTGAAGAAGGAAAAAAAAAACACCCCATAGTACTGCAAGTTCATTTCAATCCAAAACTTGCACTCTGAGTAATCGCAATTTTTCATGACATTAGGAGAGAGAACAAAGCCAGAAATCACTTTGTTCTAATAACTGGAAATATTAAAGAGCATAGGAAATGAGGTAATATTATCTCCCAGACAGTCGTCCTCCCATAATCTAATACCTTCACCATTGCCCAGGACAAACTCGCAACAGCTCGAAAAAGAAGGGTAATTGGAAGACATGTCTTTCCAAGGATTCCATGTGGAACCTCCCATAACAATCCTGGTGCCCCACCTATTAACCATCCCGTATTTACTCCGAATCACAGCATACCAAAGGGATAGGAAAGAGAGGATTTTACCTAACAAAAGGGTAGTACAAGATCAGCACACCACTGACTTTGACACTGAAGTGCTCAAATAGTATCAAAAGGCAAAATAGAGAGCCTCTTATTTATTTCAACTGCATGGGGGGTGATGAAACATGTTAAGCATACAAGAAGCGAGAAATGGCACTGGAACAGATAAAAACCAAAAACCATGGTTTTCTGCATCTACAAACCTGACAAAGAGGGTAGCACTATATCAGGAAATCGCTGATTTTGACACTGCTGCGTATATAGCATCAGAAGGCAAATGCAAGAGTCTCTATATGTTACAACCTGCAACAGGGGAACTGAGACATGTTAGTAATAAGCAGAGACAAGACACGAGAAATAGCACCGGAAAAGATCAAATCCAAAAACCTTGTATAATTGAATCTACAAAAGACTCGGAGATGGATTTTATTTTTACCTGACAATGAGGGTAGCACTAGATCAGGAAACCGCTGATCTTGACACTTGTGCTTCATAAATACCATCAAAGGCAAAAGCAAGAGCCCCTATATTTACAACCTGCAACAGGCGAAATGAAACATTTTAGTAATAAGAGAAACAAGACACTAGAGAAATAGCTCCGGAAAAAATAAAAGCCAAAAACCATGGTGTTCTGCATCTACAAACAACTGAGAGATGGATACAACTTTTACCTTATAAAGAGAGTAGCACTAGATTAGGAAATTGCTGGTTTTGATACCGGCGGGTTCATAAATAGCATCAAAAGGAAAAAAGCAAGAGTCCCTATATATTACAACCTGCAACGGGAGAATGAAACATTTTAGTAATAAGCAGAACAAGACAGTAGAGAAATAGCACCGGAAAAGATAAAGGCCAAAAACGATGGTTTTCTGCATCTACAAACGACTGAGAGATGGATTTTATTTTTACCAGACAGAGAGTAGCACTAGATCAGGAAATTGCTGACTTTGACACTGGTGTGTTCATAAATAGCATCAAAAGAAGGAAAATGTTACAACCTACAACGGGGGAATGAAACATTTTGGTAATAAGCAGAGACAAGACAGTAGAGAAATAGCACCGGAAAAGATAAAGGCCAAAAATGATGGTTTTCTGCATCTACAAACGACTGAGAGATGGTTTTTATTTTTACCAGACAAAGAGAGTAGCACTAGATCAGGAAATCACTGACTTTGACACTGGTGTGTTCATAAATAGCATCAAAAGCAAAAGCAAGAGTCCTTATATATTACAACCTGCAACGGGGGAAATGAAACATTTTAGTAATGAGCAAAGAAAATACAATAGATGGTAGAAAAAGCACCGGAAAAGATAGAAGCCAAAAATCTTGGTTTTCTGCATCTACAAAGTATGAACGACTGAGAGATGGATATAATTTTTACCCGACAAAGAGGGTAGCACTAGATCAGGAAATTGCTGATTTCGAGACTGGTGTGTTTATAAATAGCATCCAAAGGAAAAAGCAAGAGGCCTTATGGACTTTCAACTGCCCCAAAAATGAAACATGTTAAACATAAGACAAGATAAGACAGAAGGAAAAGGGCACCGGAAGGAAAAGATGAAACCTAAAATGTTCTGATCCATAAAAGACTGAGAAGGAATTTACCTGACAACGCGGGCAGAATTAGATCAGGAAACCTCTGATTTGAACTTAGGTGCTCGTAAACAGGACCAAAGGAAAAGGCAAGAGCTTATTTATCTTCGAACCTAGGCACTGGGACATCTGGGTTTCCAATTGCAGTACGAAATGAAATATTATGTTTGTTAAGAATTAGCAAAGACAAAGAGAAAGAAACAGCAGGGAAAAAGGTAAAACTAAAACTAGAGCCCGTCCAATCCATCTAAATAAAAGACACATTTCAAGGAAAATATTGTCTCAAAGATTGTTGTTGCTTTTTAATGAATTCTTCATATGCACATGAAAAACAAGTGCACCAGATTAATGTAGCATGTTGATAATGTATGTGTGTGTGTGTGTGCGTGTGCGCACGCGCGCGTATGTGTATATGCGAAGCTAAAACAGAATACCCACTGCACCACACCGGCCAATGTAAGCCAGCATGCATGCATTCATTCAGTAACTAGGATGATGTTGTTTGAATGAGGATTTGGAATCACCAACTGACAACTGCACTGGAAATGACGCATAGCATCATCCTAGTTAATAATAATGACAGAACAAAACACAATTTGAGTAATTGCTCGAGCAGGTCTGTCTGTCTTTCAGTCTGTCATGGTAACTTATTGAAAAATTCTTACTTGAATTAAGCCACCCTTTATAAAAACTTAGATCAGAATCTAACATCACCACGAAAGCAAGAGGCTTTATTTGTTTGTTGGTGAAATAAATTCAAAAAGCACACAAAAACTCTTGAATAAATAACAAGTCTAGTGCTTTTTAATCAAATCAAATCAATTCAATTCAATTCAATTCAATTCAGTTCAGTTCAATTCAGTTCAGTTCAATTCAATTCATAAAATCAAATAAAATTAATGTATGAATCTTAAGCACCCATGAATCTCAAGCACCAGCAATTCATAAAATCAAATGAATTCATGTATGAATCTTAAGCACCCATGAATCTCAAGCACCAGAGAGAGGGATTTGTTGCTATACCTAAAAAGCAAAGAAAAAAAACCAAAAATTTAGATATCAGGCATTGAGTTTAACCACCCACCGCTGAATCTGACTCAGAAATGAAATGAATCGCAAATCCAATTTCCCTCCCTGGCTCAGTCTCTCGGAAGCGGAAGCGGTGGCGGTGGTGGCCGCTAGGAGAAATGAAACCCTTAGCCGGCGGCGAGAAGGATAAGAATCGTCGGGAAACGCCAGCGGAGCCGTGCTTCGGTTTGGTCACCGACGGGATTGGGTGAGCGCCGAGGATTGTGCCATTGGTTTTCAATTTTTTCCCTTAATTTTTTGAGTAAATTGTACAAATGGTCCCTCAATTTTAATCAAATTGGAGCAATGGTCCCTCAACTAAATCCATTACCATTGGTCCCTCAACTTATCAAAATGTGTAGCTATAGTCCTTTTTATCAATTTTGTCAAAATTTTGTCAAAATAAGCTAGGTTGGAATGACCATTTATATAATTAGGGTTCATTAACTCATCAAAGTGTATAATTATGGTTCTTTTTGTCAACTATGTCAAAAAATTTGTCAAAACAAGTTATATTGGAAGGACCATTGCTACAAGTGGGTTAAAGTTAAAGGACCATTTCTCCACTTGAATTAAAGTTCAGGGACCAATGGTAATGGATTTTTAGTTGAGGGACCATAGCTGCACGTTTTGATAAGTTGAGGGACCAAAGGTAATGGATTTTTAGTTGAGGGACCATTGCTCCAATTTGATTAAAGTTGAGGGACCATTTGTACAATTTACTCTAATTTTTTAAGCGCAACGCCATTAGCTTCCACGTGTTGAAACCATTATCACTTGGCTGTTTTTTGGCAGACTTTTTCGGGTGTTAACTTTCCATTTTATTTTTTCCGAACGATAATATTTACATTAGGAGGGAGAAAATATAGTTGGTGGGCTAAATCTCATAACGAATTATTAATAATATGATTTAAAATCGTTTATAGAGAGAATTGAACAAAAAAAAAATTATTTAAGCAAAGATGAATATCATTGAACCGTCGTACTAAATGACAACATTCATTTGAAACACAAGAAATCTAAAATTAAAACTTATTACAAAAAGATTAAGTACCTAAAACTCTCCAAACTTTTTAGTATCATTCCAAATTAGTCTCATACATTCCAAACAAGTATCCAACCTAAACTTATTGAAATTGTCACATTCATTAAGCCCAATTAATTTTTATGTTAAATATACATGTGGCAACAGAGGATTAAGAATTCAAATACGATTTCAAGGTGATTTTTTCTGCTCATTTGTCGCTTCTTGGCTAGTAAAGCTTTCAATTCTTCTTTTGTGGGGAGAGGGGGTGAAGATGATGGTGGCCTCATCATGACACTACATATTATTTCAGCACTCTCCATGACCTTCTCCTCAATGTCAGCGGCTTGAATTGTAGGTGGAGTTGGTGGTTGTGCGCTGGGTTTGGAGGTGTTGGCCTGATGGGAGTGGTGGTGACCGTTAATTGGTGAAGGCTATACTTCCATGACCTTCGATTATTTTTATAGATAAAGTAAACTCAAGCTACTAAAAGAAATTTAACTGAGTTTGATGGATGTCACATTTTCAATATATTGGGTACTTGTTTGAAATGTTCAAAAAATTTGAGACCTATTTGGAATGACATTAAAAGGTTTGGGGGTTTTAGGTACTTAATCTTAAAAAATATATGCAATAGTATTTTACTTAGACTAAAACCCAGTTAACAACAACAACGATAAAGCCTTTTTCACCTATGTGGGGTCGGTTGTATGAATTATGGAATGTCATTATGCTCGGTCTTGTGACATGCCTTCCCTTAACTCCAATTATTCTATATATCTTCTTAGAGTCTCTTTTCAAGTATTTCTAGGTCTTCCTCTACCCTTATGCCCTGGACCTCTCTCGTAAAGACACCTTCTAACTGGAGCATTCGTAGGTTTGCTATTCACATGTCCAAACCACCTTCTAATTGAGGCTACTTCTACATTACCTTGAATATCCTCATTCCTAATCTTGTCATTTCCTGTGTACCCACACCTTCATTGAAACATTATAATCTCTGCCACACTCATTTTGTGCTCGTGTTGATGCGTTCTCATCACCAAAGCATTCTCATATGTACCGAGTCTTTTCCCATTATGCTCCACCCACATAAGCCATAAGCCAATTCATTAAGACCTAGTTTGGGAGTGAGGTGCTTAAAAAAAAAAACACCCATGAAAAAAACCTATGAGGGTTTTAGGTGTTTGGTAAACTGAAAAAAATGGCTTATTTTGGAAGCTGCTGTGAGAATAAGCTGAAATCAAAGGAAAAAGCTAAAGCTGCTATTTGCAGCTTTAGAAAACTGGCTTTTTTTCAAAGCACACGGAGCTACAGTGCTTCTTTAATGAAAAGACCCACTATTAGATTGCTTTTTTTTTTCCAAAAGCACTTTTACAAAAAAGTTTACCAAACACTCTGCTGATTTATTTCACAGCCGCTTATTCTCACAGCAGTTTTTTTTCAAAGCACAACAATACCAAACCAGCCCTAATTAGAATTACCTTCTCACATCTTATAGTTTTCGGATACCAAGGATACTCCAAATTATATTTTTTGCGTATATTATGGATATGTTAGTTTTATGGTATCAACAACTTTATGCTACCAACAACTAATAATTCTGAAAATAAATAATAATAAGAAGCAGAAGAAGAATAAATATGACAAAATAAGGAATATATACATAATAAATTTGATTTTGACTTTAACTCAGGAATATATACATAATACATTTTCACCAAATTAGATAAAGAATTTTGCCTTGTGTAAGTGAGAGTTTCAAATTTTTAATGGTATTAGAGAGAGGTTGACTCAAATTTGAAGTCAACTTTTTAAGGGTATTAATGATGGTGCTGGGCACAGGTGCTAATGCTCACATTACTCCTGATCTACAAAACCTGGTAAACCCAAAGGAGTATAACGGTAATGATGGTGTTGGTGGTGTAGGTAATGATTCTAGCATATTAATCTCTCATTATGGTTCTAACAAAATTCGCACCGATGCTTGCTCATTTGATCTTCAAGACATTCTTCACTGCCCTAAAGCTACCACTAGTATAATATCTGCCCATAAGTTTACCTTAGACAATGACTGTTATTTACTAATTTTTCCACACTTCTTTCTTGTTAAGGACCTTAAGACCCGGAGGACACTTTTCCGAGGGAGATGTGAGAATGGCTTATATCCATTTTCTGGTGGCAATGGACATCTCCAAAATCCAGTCACAGCCTTTCTGGGTGTTAGAGTGTCGGCTCAAAAATGGCATGCTCGCCTTATGATAAGCTTTTTAAAAAACAGCCAAAATATGATATGCTTAAAATATTTGGTTGTCAATGTTTTCCCTGGTTGATGCCGTATACACACAATAAACTTCAATAGAAATCTAAATCATGTGTGTTTTTAGGTTATTCTTTGAATCATCAAGGCTATAAATGTATGGATTTGTCCACAAGACGAGTATATGTGTCTCGCCACGTGTTATTCAATGAAGACTGTTTTCCTTTTCAAGGACTCACATCTTCCTCCGAGAGCGTTCAAACGTAAGGTATTTCACATTCACCAGATCTCTTATTCAATTTTCCTCTAATTAATGCCCCTTCTTTGACCGAGATACCTACTCCCATACAATTTACAAACACCAACCATCACCACACCACAAATCCCATCCACATCTGCCAACCCGTGCCAAAGAGTGAACCTGCCTCATCCTACCTCTATCACCCCATGCCGAATAGTAACCCAACCTGCAAACCCACGCCAAACTCTCTTCCACCCTGCTCCTACTTCTTCACCTATTCAAACAGACCAACCCGATGTGACCTCATAACCTAGACCTTCTTCACCTATTCAAACTGACAACCCCGATGTGACTTCACACCCTAGTCCCATAGGTTCCTCTCCCGTGTTAAATGAGCAAGCTACAGTAAGTGAAGAACCTCTGCTAGTGCCTCACGAGGCTTCTATTGACCCACCACACTCTATGACCACACGTTCCAAGTCGGGAATACATAAACCAAACCCTAAGTATGCTATGCATGTTGCTATTATTGATGTTCCTGTTGAGCCTACGTGTTTTACTCAGGCAGTCAAATATCCAGAATGGAGAAATGCTATGGTCCAAGAATTCAAAGCATTGCAGCGCTGTGGGACATGGAGCTTGGTTCCATTTTGTGCAAGCATGAATGTTTTGCCCAACAAATGAGTGTTTAAAATAAAGAGGAATGCAGATGGCACCATTGAAAGACATAAAGCACGTTTAGTTGCAAATGGTTTTCATCAACAGGCTGGCGTGGATTACAGAGACCTTTAGTCCTGTTGTCAAACACAGTACCATAAGACTTGTTCTCGGTCTTGCAGTCTCCAAAAACTGGCATGTTCGACAGCTTGATGTGCAGAATGCATTTCTGCATGGCTATTTACGTGAAGAAGTATACATGAGACTGCCTGCGGGGTTTGTTGATAAACAGTTTCCCCACCATGTTTGTAAACTGCAGCGTTCCGTTTATGGTTTAAAACAAAGCTCCTAGGGCTTGGTTTCAACGCTTTTCTGAATTTTTGCTGCAACTTGGATTTCAAGAATCAACATGTGATTACAGTCTCTTTGTGTTTAATCAGAAAGGTATGTAACTCATCCTGTTAATCTATGTAGATGATATTCTACTTACTGGGAATAGTCTACAACAGATGGCACATTTGATTACCAAGCTACGGACCTTGTTTTCTACGAAAGATTTGGGAACTCTCCATTATTTTTTGGGTGTTGAAGTTAAGTATTTTGGGAATTGCATGCATCTCAGTCAATCCAGTGTACTATAACCCCTCAAAACAAAAACAAAATTAATAGTTAAACAGATACTGAAAAGGATGGCAATTATGTGTAAAAGCAGGTTTGTAGTAGTGATTGATATTCAGATTATGTAAAGCAAAAAAGGTATCCTAATCAGAGACTGTCAGAGCAACTGATCTGGAGAGTGCACCGAGGCTAGCATGTAATTACAGAACAAGAGTTTTAGGAAACTGAAACCTAGAAACATCAACCAGACACCAAAACTCAAACAATCCGACCTCTATGCCTTCACCCTTTCATGTAAGTGTGGTTTCGTGTCTCTGTAATGTTAAAAGGTTTTGAGTTTGTTTGATTGTCCGTTCTCATGTATTGTTGGTGGAACCAACTGGAGGGCTCAGATGTGAAAATGGTGAACCATTTGGCCTTTTCCTGTCATTTTATATTTAATATATTGTTGTAGGTTATCAAAACACTGAAAGCCGAGGTGTTGAAGGGGCAACACCAGATCGTCTTCAAAGAGTTTTTTACTTCAGAAGTTCCCTAGGCTTGGAAGGTGACAGAAAATATGGGAGCATGCTATGGTGTACAGGGAGATCAGCAGGTTTCGTGATCAATCTTTTCAACCTCCTGACAAGATCATCTGCAGATGAAGATATCAGAAGCATTATCTCCTGGAGAGGAGATAACGCTTCGTTCATTGTTCATAACTTCACCAACTTGCACAACCTTGTGAAAAAGTTGCATGGACAGACGCAATCTCAATGGCTGAAGGATTTGAATGGCTATGTAAGTTCTCAATTAAGAAGTATTTTAGTTCTTTACGAAAAAAAAAGTTTCTTAAGTTTTACCGGGAGCAGAAAAGAACTTTTAGGCACAGACAAGGTCTACTCCAAAGGGAGCGACCGGATTTGATTCCAAACATTCATTACTTTTCTGATCCCGGTAAAACCCCTGATAAACAAATAACAAACTTAAGAAACTTTTTTTTCGTAAAGAACTAAAATACTTCTTAATTGATAACTTACATAGCCATTCAAATCCTTCAGCCATTGAGATTGCGTCTGTCCATGCAACTTTTTCACAAGGTTGTGCAAGTTGGTGAAGTTATGAACAATGAATGAAGCGTTATCTCCTCCTCAGGAGATAACGCTTCTGATATCTTCATCTGCAGATGATCTTGTCAGGAGGTTGAAAAGATTGATCACGAAACCTGCTGATCTCCCTCGTACACCATAGTATGCTCCCATATTTTCTGTCACCTTCCAAGCCTGGGGAACTTCTAAAGTAAAAAAACTCTTTGAAGACGATCTGGTGTTGCCCTTTCAACACCTCGGCTTTCAGTGTTTTGATAACCTACAACAATATATATATATATATATATATTAAATATAAATATAAAATGACAGAAAAAAGTCAATTCAATTTCAGTAATCCCGAAAAGAAAAGGCCAAATGGTTCACCATTTTCACATCTCTGTCATCTGAGCCCTCCAGTTCCTATATATGAGGTTACACCAACAATACATTAGAACATGAGAACGGACAATCAAACAAACAAACTCAAAACCTTCTAACATTGCAGAGACACAAAACCACACTTACATGAAAGAACAATCGGTGAATTTGCTTCAGTGCTTCTAGAACCGTTGCAAGAGCTCCCTCGAACTTGGTTTCATCGCTCCCAAGCAGTATCAAATTTTTCCAATGCTTTTTCCATTCCTATAGATCACAACTCCGCCTATGTCTTACATGGCCGGTCCCAAGCCCGGATAAAGGAGGAGGGGGAGGGCGTCAGGTAGTCGACAGCCGGCACTCCATGATCACGTCGAATCCTTATGAAAATGAATCCAGAACAAAATCACGCTAAAGCTAGGGCGTCACCCGTAAGTGGCGCGCTGTGTGGCCCGAGCACAGTGATAAGTGAGCAAGGGTCGCTGTATCTCCATCGGCACCCGGATGCAGTGTTAAATGAGCAAGGGGGCCATAGAAACTTCTTTTCGAACGACTCCACTCAAAGTTGTTTGGGAGCATATGCTCCTATCAACTTTACCCGAGACACACAAAAGAAGTACTTTGATCCTATTAGACGGGGGAGGGTGAAGAAGCTAGGACAGAAGGGTAGAGTTCAAGAGAGCAAAATGCGTTTAGGAACGTGGAATATAGGAACCTTAACGGGAAAATCTATGGAAGTAGTGGAAGTTATGGTGAGGAGAAGGATAAATATTATGTGCCTACAAGAAACTAAGTGGGTTGGTAGTAAGGCAAAGGATCTAGAAAACTCAGGGTTTAAACTTTGGTATTCGGGCACAAATAGAACGAGAAACGGTGTTGGCATCATCGTGGACAAGACCTTGGTACAAGATGTTGTAGATGTCAAGAGGGTAGGAGATAGAATCATGGCAATCAAGATTGTAATAGGACAAGAACTTATCAATGTGATTAGTGCGTACGCACCTCAAGTAGGGTTGGATACGAGTTCGAAGGAGAAATTTTGGGAAGATCTTGGAGACTTGGTGCAAGGAATTGCTCAGACGGAGAAGTTATTTATAGGAGGAGATTTAAATGGACACGTGGGCAGGGAGACAGGCAACTATGGAGGTTTTCATGGTGGCCATGGTTTTGGGGGAGAGAAACGAGGATGGGGAAGCTATCTTGGATTTTGCAATGGCATATGATCTCTTCTTAGCCAACACCTTCTTTAAGAAGAGAGAAGAACATGTGATCACCTACAAGAGTGGGTCGTCAAAAACACAAATAGATTTTCTTCTAATGAGGAAAGAGGATCGTATAACTTGTAAGGATTGCAAAGTTATACCAGGAGAGAGCGTGGCTAATCAACATCGCTTGTTGGTGATGGATGTACATATCAAAAGAGTAAGACAAAAGAACAAGACTTGGAAGTGCCCAAGGACTAGATGGTGGAATCTAAAAGAAGAAAAACAAGTCATTTTCAAAGAGAAGGTAATCACTCAATGTGTGTGGGATAGAGAGGGGGAAGCTAGCCAAATGTGGGATTCCATGGCTAGTTGTATCCGAAAAGTAGCAAAAGAGGTATTAGGAGAGTCCAAGGGCTTTGCCCCACACCAAAAGGAATCTTGGTGGTGGAATGAGGAGGTACAAACAAAGGTGAAGGCTAAGAAGGAATGTTGTAAAGCCTTATACAAGGAGAGGACAGATGAAAATGGTGAAAGGTATAGAAAAGCGAAGCAAGAGGCGAAGAAAGCTGTCAGAGAAGCTAAGTTAGCGGCTTACGACGATATGTATAAACGACTAGATACCAAAGAAGGAGAGTTGGATATCTATAAACTATCTAGAGCAAGGGAAAAGAAGACAAGGGACCTAAACCAAGTGAGGTGCATCAAGGATGAGGATGAAAAGGTTCTTGCTACAGAGAACGCGGTTAAAGACAGATGGAGAGGTTATTTTCATAATCTTTTCAATGAAGGACATGAAATGAGTGCTTCTTTAGGGGAGTTGAGTAACTCAGAAGAGTGTAGAAACTACTCTTTTTATCGTCGAATCCGGAAGGAAGAAGTGGTTGTAGCTTTGAAGAAGATGAAGCATAAAAAAGCAATAGGCCCAGACGATATACCAATCGAAGTGTGGAAACTTTTGGGAGAGACAGGTATAACACATGGCTCACTGACCTTTTCAATAGGATTTTGAAAAACGAAGAAGATGCCAAATGAGTGGCGAACGAGCACTTTGGTGCCTATCTACAAGAATAAGGGCGACGTACAAAATTGCATGAACTATAGGGGTATTAAGCTAATGAGTCATACAATGAAGCTCTGGGAGAGAGTCATTGAGCATAGATTGAGGCAAGAGACACGGGTTTCGGACAACCAATTCGGGTTCATGCCAGGGCGCTCAACCATGGAGGCAATCTATCTCTTACGAAGATTGATGGAAAGATATAGAGATGGGAAAAAGGATTTACACATGGTCTTTATAGATTTGGAAAAAGCGTATGATAGGGTCCCAAGAGACATTCTTTGGAGGATTTTAGAAAAGAAAGGAGTACGAGTAGCATATATCCAAGCTATAAAGGATATGTATGAAGGAGCAAAGACTGCCGTAAGAACTCATGAAGGACAAACCGAAAGCTTTCCCATAACTGTAGGATTACATCAAGGCTCATCCTTAAGTCCTTACCTTTTTGCGTTGGTAATGGATGAGTTAACAAGACATATTCAAGATGATATTCCTTGGTGTATGCTTTTCGCAGACGATATAGTGTTGATAGATGAAACTCAGGAAGGGGTAAATGCAAAGCTTAACCTTTGGAGAGAAGTGTTGGAATCTAAAGGTCTTCGCCTAAGCCGATCAAAGACAGAATATATGGAGTGCAAGTTCAGTGCAAATGGAGGCCAAAACGAGTTAGGGGTGAGGATCGGAGATCAAGAAATACCAAAGAGCGACCGTTTTCGTTACCTAGGATCTATCTTGCAAAAGAACGGAGAATTAGATGGAGATCTCAACCATAGAATACAAGCTGGATGGATGAAGTGGAAGAGTGCATCCGGCGTGTTATGTGACCGCCGTATGCCACTGAAGCTCAAGGGAAAATTTTTATAGGACGGCAATAAGGCCGGCGATGCTGTATGGCACAGAATGTTGGGCGGTGAAACATCAACACGTACACAAAATGGGTGTAGCGGAGATGAGGATGCTTCGTTGGATGTGTGGGCACACGAGAAAGGATAAGATTAGGAATGAGGATATCCGGGGTAAAGTAGGAGTAGCCGAAATTGAAGGAAAGATGAGAGAAAATCGGTTACGGTGGTTTGGACATGTGCAAAGAAGGCCTACTGACGCTCCGATTAGAAGATGCGACTATGGGACAGAGGTTCAGGGCCGAAGGGGTAGAGGAAGACCTAGGAAAACTTTGGAAGAGACTCTAAGAAAAGACTTAGAGTACTTGGATCTAACGAAGGACATGACACAGGATCGAGCACAATGGCGTTCTAAGATTCATATAGCCGATCCCACTCAGTGACTTGGATTTTCCAAGTCTCCAACCGAGAAGTTTTCCTCACTCGGAAAATTAAGGGAACACTACCCCAACCTACATGCTCCACTCAGAAAGCTTCAACATACAAGCTTCAACAAAAGAAAATTCAAAGAACTTAGCGAAGAAGGCTTTGGTGTATTTAACACAATACGTTGAAATGAAGGAAAGCTTATTTATTGATATCCCCGATAAGCTACAAATATGTACATATACATGAGTCAAAATAAACACACAAGAGGGAGCCTTCACAAAGGTTGCTTAGGAGAAGTCTCAGCAGTCGGTAGAGCCCCAGAAAGAGAAGGCACCGGAGGGGGATCATTTGGAGCCTCAGTACTGGACAGAATCCCTAGAAGGAGGAGGCATCAGAGGTTGATCATTTGGAGCTTCATTACGCGGTACAGCCCCAGAAGACGAAGGCAATAAATGCCTTTGGAACAAACCCACAAATCTCTGATGATCAAGTAAAACCTGACCATCAGTTTCCTTCATCTGGTCAAGCTTCCTCTTCATGTTTGTAGCATAGTCATGTGCGAGCCGGTGCAACTGTTTATTCTCATGCTTGAGCCCTCTAATCTCCTGTTTGAGACTCATCACTTCAGCCGCCAATGATTCAACTTGGCGGGTTCGAGCAAATAGGCGTTGGGCCATATTAGACACAGAACCTGCACACTGAACACTGAGAGCCAGCGAATCCTTAACAGCTAACTCATCAGACCGTTTGGAAAGTAGTCTGTTATCTTTGGGAGTGAGAAGGTTCCTGGCCACCACCGCAGCGGTCATATCATTCTTCATCACGGAATCCCCAACGGTAAGAGGACCAGTAGGGGAGACGAAGGATGGGCGCCATATGTTGTCTGGAGAAGGCGGGGCTGCCTCTTCAACAAGGTTCAAGTCAAAACGACGGTCGGAGGGGCCAGACATTTTCAAAGGTGTTGAAGAGAGAAGAGGTCGGACAAATCAAGATCTTAGAAGTGCAAGAATGAAGCTTCTACTGGTGGAGATTCAAGTGTGCTTTGGAACTTAATGCCAGCCCTTATAAAAATCTGCACTCGACGGAGCTTCAGAAATCGAAGAGGCGCCTGCTCAGAAATCGAAGAGGCGTTTGCTTTCTCAAAAGCTGGGCTGCTTAGAGATCACGAGGGTTGATCTCAGAAATCGAAGAGGCGTTTGCTTTCTCAAAAGTTGGGCTGCTCAAAGACCACGAAGGCCGATCTCAGAAATCGAAGAGGCGCTCGCTTTCTCAAAAGCTGGGCTCCCCAGAGACCACGAGGGCCGATCTCAGAAATCGAAGAGGCACCTACTTTTTCCAGCCTTGTCAGCACCTGTCACACGCACACTCAGCTTTGCGGAAAATTATGGGCATTCTGTCGAAGACTTCTGGGGAAGTAGAAAACACATGAATCTTACTGTTCAATCACCCACTTCCCACACGCAACAATAGCTCATGGGTACCACAGAAAAAACTTTGCCAAAGTTCTCTGCCAAAGTTGAGCACGTGAAGCTTGCAGCTCCCACTACATCGCTCTGACCAAGAAGGGTAAAAGAATAGCAAAGAAACAGCACTAACAAAGTTTAGAACCCATAAATTTTGAAGGTCTAGCTACCATATTATTACCCACAAAGGGTAAAGGAACAGTACCACTGCTGGATAATTGGAAAGTCCCTGTGTGTCAACCTCTGTGCTTCGTGGCAAGGTAGACTAGCAAACATGCCCAACCTTTACTCACATTCGAGAAAACACTCCCAATAAGATTGCTTGCTCCAAAATCGAAGAGGCACCGTCCTCCGAATCTCGAGAGCCAGACTCCCAACATGACTACTTTCTTAAAAATCGAAGAGAGGGTAAAGGAACAGTACCATTGCTGGATAATTGGAAAGTCCCTGTGTGTCAACCTCTGTGCTTCGTGGCAAGGTAGACTAGCAAACATGCCCAACCTTTACTCACATTCGAGAAAACACTCCCAACAAGATTGCTTGCTCCAAAATCGAAGAGGCACCGCCCTCCGAATCTCGAGAGCCAGACTCCCAACATGATTACTTTCTCAAAAATCGAAGAGACACTGCTCCCCGAATCTTCGAGAGCCAGACCCCCAGCATGATTGCTTTCTCAAAAATCGATGAGGCATCGTTCTCCGAATCAATCGAAGAGGCGCTCGCTTTCTCAAAAGCTGGGCTGCTCAGAGACCACGAGGGCCGATCTCAGAAATCGAAGAGGCACCTACTTTTCTAGCCTTGTCAGCACCTGTCACACACGCACACTCAGCTTTGCAGAAATTATGGGCATTCTGTCGAAGACTTCTGGTGAAGTAGAAAGCACATGAATCTTACTGTTCAATCACCCACTTCCCACACGCAACAATAGCTCATGGGTACCACAGATAACTTTGCCAAAGTTCTCTGCCAAAGTTGAGCACGTGAAGCTTGCAGCTCCCACTACATCGCTCTGACCAAGAAAGGTAAAAGAATAGCAAAGAAACAGCACTAACAAAGTTTAGACACATAAATTTTGAAGGTCTAGCTACCATATTATTACCCACAAGGGTAAAGGAACAGTACCACTGCTGGATAATTGGAAAGTCCCTGTGTGTCAACCTCTGTGCTTCGTGGCAAGGTAGACTAGCAAACATGCCCAACCTTTACTCACATTCGAGAAAACACTCCCAACAAGATTGCTTGCTCCAAAATCGAAGAGGCACCGTCCTCCGAATCTCGAGAGCCAGACTCCCAACATGACTACTTTCTCAAAATCGAAGAGAGGGTAAAGGAACAGTACCATTGCTGGATAATTGGAAAGTCCCTGTGTGTCAACCTTTGTGCTTCGTGGCAAGGTAGACTAGCAAACATGCCCAACCTTTACTCACATTCGAGACAACACTCCCAACAAGATTGCTTGCTCCAAAATCGAAGAGGCACCGCCCTCCGAATCTCGAGAGCCAGACTCCCAACATGATTACTTCCTCAAAAATCGAAGAGACACTGCTCTCCGAATCTCGAGAGCCAGACCCCCAGCATGATTGCTTTCTCAAAAATCGAAGAGGCATCGTTCTCCTCCGAATCTCGAGAGCCAGATACCACAGACCACTTTTTCAAAGTGCTCTGACAGAGTTAAAACATGTGAAACTGGCAGCTCCCACTACCGTGCTATGACCAAGCAGGGTAAAGGAATAGCATTACTACTTGTTAGGGAGACTCCTATATATGTCGACCTCCATCCCCAACGGACAGGCAGACCTGCAAAAATGCTCAACCCTTCATCATATCTGAGAGGGCACTCCCAACGAAGCCTTTCGAAATATTCAGCTTTCTTTCCCCCCGATAATACCTCTGCAAACAAGCTATACTAGAGCAAGAATATCTCATATCATCAGGGTTAAAAGCAAGAGTATCCCATATCATGCTTTTTCCCTGTCTTTTTCCTTTGGCCTTGTTTTTACCTGCAAGACAAGGAGAAAGAGAGCAATCAGTCAGCACTTGGAATCAAGCTTCCAGCCAGGAACTGACTGCCTGGAACCCCTTACCTGATTACTTACCTGGCATTGCTCTCGAGTACTCATCTTCAACATCTTATGTTTCCAGGGAAGATTCCGCATCTGCTTGAGGAACAGATAGGGCAAGTGCGAAGGATACAAGGAAGCATGTGGAGACAAGCGTAACAGCACACGTGCCGATACATCCATTACTCTGTCAAAAGCAAAAGTATCCCATATCAGCAGGGTGGAACGTACTCTAGATTTGATGGACTTGTTTTGACCCTCAAATTCTTCAGTCGGCCTTATACTCTGGAGGAAACCAGAAAACCCTCCAGCTCAGTTCAAGAATAAGCCTGTGGAAAGTTACTTCTTCAAAAGCAAAAGTATCTCATATCATCTCTTCTCATTTTTCTTCTCTTTATCCTTCATGCTGCTGCAAGATGGGGAGAAGGTGAACAATCAGTCGGAGCTCTGATTGCTTACCTTGTCTGTCACCTCTTTCAGCAGACCCCCTAGCTCGGCGACTTGGGGGACTCCTACTACATGGTTTGTATCGCGCTTGACCAAGCCTGAAACTACAAGTAAGCTTCAAGTGAAATTGATACATTACCTTGTGCATCTCCACCAGTTAAAGATACCACCCCTGGATGGAGGAAGAGTACTTCCAGAGAAGATGCCACATCTACCTATGAGACAGATAAGGCAAGTCAAGACGACACCACACTCCGATACTTAGAAGTTTCGTGATTACGAGATCATTCTCCCACAATATTTCCTTAATGTCATTTGTACTAAATCATTCACTTGTACTCACTAAAGGAGAGCTTGAACCTATGTACTTGTGTAAACCCTTCACAATTAATGAGAACTCTTCTATTCCGTGGACGTAGCCAATCTGGGTGAACCACGTACATCTTGTGTTTGCTTTCCTATCTCTATCCATTTATATACTTATCCACACTAATGACCGGAGCAATCTAGCGAAGATCACAAAAAGCGACCGTTTTCGCTACCTAGGATCTATCTTGCAAGAGAACGGAGAATTAGATGGAGATCTCAACCATAGAATACGAGCTGGATGGATGAAGTGTTAAGAATGCATCCGGCGTGTTGTGTGACCGTCGTAGGCCACTGAAGCTCAAGGGAAAATTTTATAGGACGGCAATAAGGCCAGCGAATGTTGTATGGCACAGAATGTTGGGCGGTGAAGCATCAACACGTACACAAAATGGGTGTAGCGGAGATGAGGATGCTTCGTGGGATGTGTGGGCACACGAGAAAGGATAAGATTGGGAATGAGGATATCCGAGGTAAAGTAGGAGTAGCCGAAATTGTAGGAAAGATGAGAGAAAATCGGCTCCGGTGATTTGGACATGTGCAAAGAAGGCCGAATGACGCTCCGGTTCGAAGATGTGACTACGGGACAGAGGTTCAGGGCCGAAGGGGTAGAGGAAGACCTAGGAAAACTTTGGAAGAGACTCTAGGAAAAGACTTAGAGTACTTGGATCTAACGGAGGACATGACACAAAACCGAGCGCAATGGCGTTCTAGGATTCATATAGCCGACCCCACTTAGTGGGAAAAGGCTTTGTTGTTGTTGTTGTTGTTGTTGTTGTAAGTGATAATCGACAGGGAACAAATCACTTACATTTTCTGTATTGGCAAGGATCACAACTGCATTATCGTGACCAAGCACAATATCTAGGCCTTCTTGATGTTTTTGGGCACCATTGTCGTGTGAGATCACCCTATCACTGCAAATGCTCCTTTGACGGATCAAGTAAACTAGCCTTTTTCCAGCGCATATGATCGTTCACCAGCTGTGTACATGTACATCTCGTACATGTAGCTGGCATCCCTTAAGAAGGACCTAACAGAGGGCCTCAACGCCTTGCATGCATCTTGCATGCATCTTGCGTGCACAGGCATGTACAAGACATTCAAAGAATTAGAAAAAGAACAAACAACGACTCACTACAACAACCGTATAAACCTGAAACACTAGATATGTTAAAATACATAGAAGTACAAACATTACAAACCTTGGGGACCATCTGTTTGGCTCTGCAAGCAGTCCTCTCCTGAATCGGCGGAATTAAGGAGTGTGTGATCCACATCAACTACTAAGTAAAGTTTCTTACGGTGCAGCAATTTCTTAATGCCTAATTTCTTGACTCTCTCAAGTTCCTCATTTTTAAGCATCAATCCCTGCAATAGATACCAATAGATTAGGAAGTCATTCCTTACTAGAAAATGGATATAAGAAACGATTAAGCCTTTTTCAAGCATACGTTTATCTTTTCCAAAATATACCAACAAATTATGAATACATGTCACATACCTTGTCTTCGTACCCAAAATCTTTCTCGTTTACGGGAAGCCCACACACATAACACATATCTTGAAAGGAACCAGGGTGAGTACACGCCTCCTTCGACGACGCTTCTGGACATATTAGCATGGTAAAGCCAAAGCGAACATAGTGCACACATTTTAGTACTGTAATTTGAAAACCCACCAAAATAGTTACCTGCTTTTTGCTTTTCAGTATCATCTTCGGACTCCGATGAACCATGCAGGTCTCCCTCAAGAAATCGGCCAAATTCCTCAATGCTAGAGGAGCCGTATTGTGGCGAATTCATCTAAATTATTCAACAATTTATAAACAAATTGTGATTTCTGAGTACCCACATAGAAAATTCACATAAATTATGAAAAGAAAAATAAAAGAAATCACGCATAAAAATTAGTAGAAACGTGAACAACCGTACCGCGAATTCAGATGGCAGCGAGATTGAAAGTTCTGCGAAATGTTGGATGATGCCCTGGTTTTAGGGCTGCGGTGTGGGAAAATCGAGCTCGTGAAATTTGAAATTGGGGATGAGCGGGAGAAAGAAGTATTTGAAAGTCTTGATAAACTTCGAAAATTAGGGATTTAAAAAGCACATGAACAAATCACATAAATCGAGAAACTATATTTGCAGAAGAAGACGTTTGAGACAATGAATTCAGTCACACATTTCATCAATTCTGAAGAAGCAGAAAATCGCAATTTCCAGAGATCAAAGATTCAAGGAAGAAGAAGAGTAGAAGATAGCCATACCAGATACGAGAGAGACGGAAGCAGAAAAAGAAATCAGGTTTGGAAGAGCTCAGCCAAGATCAAGAGAGCTCATCCACGGCCGGCGTAGATATCAGAGGTATTAGGGAGGAATGAGATAATAGGCGGCAATTGGGCCTCCTTCTCTTAGGAGTGAGATAATAGGCGGTGTTATTTTTCAAGTCGATCAATCGTGTGTCCATTCTCCTACATCGGAGTCAATGACATCCTTTAATTGAGAGAGTGATAAATTTAGATTCTAAAATATTTTAATGGTTTTTTTTTATTTTTTATTATATCGATATTTTTACATTAAAAGCAGGGAAGTTCGGTTAAGCCACATAATGGACAGCTTAATTTGGTATCGAAATCGCCATCCACGAAATTCGAACCTAAGACCTCTCACTTCCAAGTGAATATGAGTACCGTCAGACCGTAGTACTGAATGACAATGGATTTTTTTAAGTGACTGATTTCAATGAACTTTAATAATTTTACATAAAATTATGACAAATTATTATGTATTTCTATTATAGATTTCTATGAATTTCTTAGGAACGTCAATCAGTTCAATTAATTGACAATCAAGGAACTCTAACACCCACTCCCGGCAGAGATCAACGTGGCCATAGATCCCAACCACACCACCACATCAGCCTCCAGGGCCGCCACCAATGATTTGAGGAGGAACACATAAAGGAAAAATTCAGGAGAGAAATTGTGGTATTGAGCACTGGTTTGAAGGACAACTGAGTTGAAGGACAAAGATGAGAGGGGTAAACCCCGATGGATGAGGATGAAGAAGATGAAGTCGAAGAGGACGATGAGATGTGGCATTTGGTATTCATATCACCCACCCTCAAAATCAAATCCATCAAAATTTCTCATTCATTAAAATCCTAGTAAACCTGTAGCATTCTCACTACATATTTTTTTTAAACCATGTTTGACCACCTGCTGATTTGGATGTTCTCTTTAAAATCCTCTTAAATGTAATTTGATCACACCTAGATTTTAAAATCTTTTAAAATGCTAATTGACTACACCCAAATTTCAAACTCTATTAAAACCCTAATTTGACTATCATTTTCCTATCAAAATTTACACGTAATCATGTTTTCAAGGATTACTAATCTGAACGATTTTACACACAAGCCTAGCCCCTACGACTCCAACCAGTAATAAAATTGATGAGATTCCAATAATGAAGACATGCAATCTTTTAAATACTAAACTGATGACATTGAATAAGTCTAAGGAGCTTTATCTAAAATAGAAAAATAATAACGTTTGGGGTGTATCAGAGAAATAACACTCTTAGGTTGGTTTAAAAGCTGTTTAGGCGCTATTTCCTTAGATTCCAAGGAAGCGAGGACACTAAATTATTCTAAATGTTTAGGCCATCTCCAACCGATGGCTGGCCAGAAGTCTAGTTTTAGCCCTCTGGCTCTCCAAGATTCTCCAAGATATTAATATTTTAATGAACAATACATAGCCATATTTGCCTCCATCTCCAACCGAGGGCCAGAGGGCCAGAGGGCTCGTTTTAGCCCTGTCACAAAAAACCGTCTCCAACCGAAAGCCAAAGGGCCATAGGGTCAAACATAATTTATTATTTAAAAACTACAACTTTAATTCAACCCATTTAAAAACCGTCTCCATTTAAGTTTCATGTTGTATAATTTTTATGTTGGTTAATGTTATTTAATGTTGTTTCATGTTACTTAATTTAATTTAATGTTGTATAATGGCTTAGGAAGTTATAGAAAAAAAATATGAAACAAATTTTGTGAAATAGAAGTTATAGGAGAAAAATGGAATTTAAAAAAAAATATGAAATAAATTTTGAGAAATAGAAGTTATAGGTGTCACATCCCGACCCGGGACGGATCATTTCCTGGGCCCGCTCCACCACCGTAGCACGATATTGTCCGCTTTAGGTTTACCATTCCCTCACGGTTTTGTTTTTGGGAACTCACGAGCAACTTCCCAGTAGATCACTCATCCTGGGAGTGCTCTGGCATCCTTCTCGCTTAACTTCGGAGTTCTTACGGAACCCGAAGCCAGTGAGCTCCCAAAAGGCCTCGTGCTAGGTAGGGATGGGAATACACATTTAAGGATCACTACCCTGGGCGATGTGGGATGTTACAATCCACCCCCCTTAGGGGCCCGACGTTCTCGTCAGCACACTTCCGGCCAAGGATTGGTTCTGATACCAAATTGTCACATCCCCGCCCGGGGCGGATCATTTCCCGAGCCCGCTCCACTATCGTAGCACGATATTGTCCGCTTTAGGCTTACCATTCCCTCACGGTTTTGTTTTTTGGAACTCACGAGCAACTTCCCAGTAGGTCACCCATCATGGGAGTGATCTGGCATCTTTCTCGCTTAACTTCGAAGTTCCTATGAAACCCGAAGCCAGTGAGCTCCCAAAAGGCCTCGTGCTAGGTAGGGATGGGAATACACATTTAAGGATCACTCCCCTGGGCGATGTGGGATGTCACAATAGGAAAAAATAGAAGTTATATGAACAATTTTGTAAATAAAAAATAATAATAAAACTGTAAAAAAAAAAAAATCAAATGCAACGGCTAGTATCCGTTGCATTTGAATTTTTTCTTAAGAAATCCTGTCGATTATAACCGACAGGAATAACAAAACATTAAAAAAAAAGTAGCCAGCCTTCCAGCCCTCTAGCCCTCTCCGATTCCGTGGGGCCCTCCCAGATTCCAGAGCCCTCTGGCCTAGCCCTTGGTTGGAGACGGTTTTCGGGCTATTTTCAGCCCTCTGGCTCTTTGGACCATTCGGTTGGAGATGACCTTATATATAAAGCCAACAACCCTTTTTGGGGTCACAAGCTTTACTAAAATATTTTAGACAAAAATGCTCCCAAAACAAAAAAATTCAAAAGTAGTCCAAAATAATGCACCAAATAATACAGGTGTATTTTCGTCATTTTAACAGTATTTTTTAAATAATTAATTCTTTTTGTACATTTTTTTTAATTAGTATCTCACAATAAGTTAGCAATAATGTGATTCAATCAGTTGTTCGTTAAATATTATTTTCTCTATTTTTAAACACGTTCAAAACATCTTAAGAGACCTGTAATGACGGTTATAAAAAAAGTCTTTCCCACGCGCATAATGATGTGATTAAATTATTTGTCAAATGATTATTTTTTTTCTTTTCTAACATATGATATTATCTATACTAAGGGGAAGCGGGTGAGCTTGACCTCACAATGGGTTAGTAATAATGTGATTCAATCAATTGTTTATTAAATATTATTTTCTCTATTCTTAATGTAAATTCAATAGAATGTAAATTGAAAAATCGATTTTATTATGTGAATTCAATTGCTTTGATTGGTTTGTGAGGGGTTTTTTCTAGCATGATCTAAGATTATTAATTTACTTCAAATATTTAACTTTCCTTTTGTCAATTCACGCATATAAATACATTTAAAACGTATAAATCGCGCGTAGCACGCTGTGATTCAAAACGTGAGCATGAAGGCTAGTTAAAAACCTAAGCTATCTTGAAGTGGGTTAATTATCTGTTAGGTCCAAGTTCGAGTTATGCAGCCACCTTCTTAGGATTAGGATGAAAGGCATGAACAAGGATTGTCTGCCCTCCACTTCCGGTGCCCTACCCGTGCCCTCCTGTTTTGTATGGTCACGGTTAAGCCACGTCAACACTTTATATTTTTTTTATAGATATAATAAGACAAAAATAAATAGTAATATAAAATGTTGACGTGACTTAACCGTGACCACAAAAACAGGAGGGCACGGAGAGGGCACCGGAAGTGGAGACCAAACAATCCTTGTCCAAAAGGCATGTCATAGACACGTGTGCTTCGACAGTCATAAACTATATTTTCATCCTTATTTTTTCGGTTCGATCAAAATTATGCCGATTCTCCTACATCACATTAATAACTTTTATTTTAATTCCTATAATTATTGTACCATTTTTTTCTATCAAATATAATGGGTTCTTTAGATATAAACCCTTGAAACCCCTATTTTCCAAATAAAAACCCACCTAAATTTAAACATTCAAATAAAACCCAAATTTCAAATAGACCGCCATGTAGACAAATATATAACCAACTATTACAATACATTTACAACTTATTATGCAAAATCCTAATTTGGTCAATAAATATTATTAGTTATCCTAATTATGATGAGCAATTAAATTCATATGGATATTTTACCTTTCTTGTATCATAAATATTAGTAAAATATATAAATTAATTTATCAAATAAAAAAAAAGACATATCTTGTACGGACAAAATAATATTGTTTGAATCATGTAATTACCTACATACAAATTAATTTACCTACTTATAAAATATTGTACTAATTTACCTGCATTTTGAATCATGTAATTACCTACATACATATATTATACTAATTTACCTACATATAAAATATTATACTAATTTACCTATTCCAAAAAAAAATAAAAATTAGTGATATTAGATAATGTTCGAATGTTGTGGGTTTGTGCTTGCAGGCAATTAAATAAACTTTTAATCTAATGCACATAAATTATGTAGGTAAATTAGGTCATTTTGGAAGTGAATTGGACCCTTTAAATTTTGGTTCGATGGAATAGGTAAATTAGACTATTTTGTAGGTAAAAATTGCGTGGAACATATAACCTTTGTTTTGTGGATTAGGGACTAGAGTATTAGCTGAAGCTGTTGTAGGTTTATTGTTGTGTTGGTAGGTAAATTAACTTATATATTTAATGCACAAAATTATGAAATTAGTATTATTATTGAGTATAACAATTTGAAAGGTAATACATTGAATATACAATGAATGACATGAATTATTTTGTAAAATATATAAAATTAATTAAATAGATGTAACAAGTAACTGATCCAAAAATCATATCCAAGTATTAATAGGGGCAGTTTAGGCATTCAAAAAATGCACAATTTGAAAAGTCAAACTTAGTTAAAGAATTTGTTTAGTTGAAGGCTACTAAATGAGCTTTATTCAAGAAATGAGATGGATTTTAGTAGAGGAAAATATAGTTTCAAGGGGTAATATCAAATTTTCAGAGAACATTTATAATGAGTTCTAGATAAAGTAGTATTATTCTTAGAATATAATAAGAATTTGAATGGAGTACTG